AAGCACCTGTTCCACAAGGCCACAGTACTTAGCTCCCATCTTGTTCATAATCCTCATTTCCAACATAAGACAAGGATGTGGGGCCAGCCACAGACCGTGTCTCCTTTGAAGATGACACCCGAATCTGCATGGACAGTGTCTTCCATTGCAGACACTGCAAGGTCCAGGGCGGACATAACCAAATCTTTCAGTGGGCTGCAGAAAACAATTGGAAGTTCAACGATGAGAAAATTTCCATTACTCAGACTATGGTAAACATGAGAAATTAATCTTCATCAGGGTACAAAACAAATTCTGGCCACAAATAGAGCGAAACACCCAACGTCAAAGACCTGGGAGTGATTATGTCGGAGGGATCTCACTTCAATGACCATAACATTGTATCAATCGCATCTGCTGAAAAATGACAGGATGGATAATGAGAACCTCAAACTAGGGAGGCCAAGGCCCATGTTGACACTCTTCAGGTCACTTGTTCTATCTAGGCTGTATTATTGCTGACTCTAACAGCGCCTTTCAAGGCAGGTGAAATTGCCGACCTAGAAAATGTACAGGAACTTTACGGCGCGCATAACGGAGATAAAAACACCTCAATTACTGGGAGCGCTTGAGGTTTCTAAACCTGATTCCCTGGAACGCAGGAGGGAGAGATACATGATATATACACCTGGAAAACTTGAGGAATAGTAACCGAACTTGCACACGAAAATCCTCACTACGAAAGCAAAAGATCTTGCCAGACGATGAACATCCCCCCAATGAAAAGCAAGGGAGCTTTTGTGTCACTAGCACGTTTTTGAGACCATACAATAAGTGTAGGGGACGAGACTGTTCAACTGCCTCCCAGCACACATAAGGGGGATTACCAACAGACCCCTGGCAGTCTTCAAGCTGGCACTGGACAAGCACCTAAAGTCAGTTCCTGATCAGCCGGGCTGTGGCTCGTACGTTGGTTTGCGTGCAGCCAGCAGCAACAGCCTGGTTGATCAGGCGCTGATCCACCAGGAGGCCTGGTCACAGACCGGGCCGCGGGGGCGTTGACCCCCGAAACTCTCTCCAGGTAAACTCCAGGTAAACTCATGCACCCAGAGGAGCATTCTGTTTAGACTTATTATTTTCTACTTTATTGCTTCGATGTAGGTTAATCAGTGCCATTCTTAAGTGTTGAATGTATCTTTATGTATGGATGCATAAACGTATTGTTCCAGACGCTTTTTTTTCGAGACATGTTAATACTGAGAGCCTCCAAGAACCTAGTGTAATAATAATAATAATAATAATAATAATAATAATAATAATAATAATAATAATAATAATAATAATAATAATAATAATAATAATAATAATAATCCAAACTTCCTGGTACCTTATAGTTGTCTGAGAGATTATTAATATTCCTGTTTCCGCAGCATCTTATAAAAGTCCAGTAAAGTAGCCTAAAACATAATGTTCTTTAACATTTTCTAATCTTGGTCTTTGTTTTATTTTTCAACAGTGTTGCCATCCCACTGCTGGATCCATTCACAGATCAGTAAAATATTAGATTTAAAGTACAGTTCCCTTCGGAGTAGAAGTCACAGTGCCGTCGCTGGCACAGTTTACTGCCATAATGTGAAGGTGTAGACTCGTATGAATATCGCCTCACCGTTATAAATTACGGAAATTACGTCGCATCCGCTACCATCTCTCTTCTTGCCAAGGTTTATGCTAACGTCTAAGTTACTTTGTAAACAGAGAAAGAAAGATGGAAGAATTAGGGCAGATGCCATGGACAACACTGCAGCTTCATTGCTGAAGCTGCTGTCATAAGTATTAACACAGGGGTCCCTCAAGGCGGCGAAACATCAGTTCAAGTGGCAAGTTAGCAACCTACTGTACCTGAAAATAAAATATTAAAATTAGACTTCAAGAATGCATCTATCATACTGCACAGACGTGGTGTTAACTGTTTTAACACACTTCCCTAGTCTCTCCCTTTCATTTCAGCTGGATACAGCAAGGAGTTGAGGCTTCTGTATGAGCATGGAGTAACTTCGTCTGTGGGTGTTTATCAAGGTAATCCTCTCGCCCCATTTCTCTTCTTCATGGCAGCTGTGGAAATCACTAGTAGAATGATCAACGAAGTAAACATCTGGTTTCTGGACAAAGTAGTTCATACAGTGGATTGATCAGGTGAAGACAGGGGCAGGTCACATCAAGAATAAAAAAAAACCTCATCTGAAGACCTGGACATTCCTCTGAAAGCTAAGGATTCCGTTGACATTATCGAGTTGTGCATTGCTTTTAACTGCTCGTTTGGCGACTTGTACAGTCAATCATTTCTGGTGACCATAGACTCGCCTTTTAGCGGGGTTATGTCTAATATGCACATGGAATACCTGGATAAGCAGAAAATAAAACCGCACATCTCTAGTGATGTCACAACTGCATCACTCAGACATAATAGCTATCGTACCCAGACAGCTCAACACTGCTGAACGCAATGCAATAAACTATTGAACTATCATTTAAGTTCACCATGGAAAGCGAACACGAAGGTTACCTTCCTTTTCGTCTTGACATACTTCTTCGCAGGAACAATACTAAATTGGATATTAAGGTCAACACTTCTTGCCACACCATGATGCGAGGACAAAGGTGTCATCGTAAGATTCTACTTGAGAACATATACTATCTCTAACACAACATGACACACCAGGATTTTTCTAAACTTGAATACCTAACCTGATCGCGGGTTCAAGCCCCGCCCGTGGTATGGTTTGTTTGCAATCGTGTCATTACGATTTCGTGAGTCACCTAACCCACTCCATTAACAACGATACCTCATGCTAATATTCCCCACCTAGTGACACCCTAACAAACCTAATAATTAAAAGTACATAAACAAATATCACCTAATACTTGCCGGTGACCAATACAAACCTTGTCCAACCTGAAGACCCTCAAGTACATGACTTTCTTAATATGTACAATTTCCTACTAATACGAGCTATAATAAGCCTATAAGAAATTTTGAGACAAGTACACCCTCAATTGACCATATCTGGACTAGTATAATAGCCCCTCTCGAAGCAGGGATAATCAAACAATACTACTGATCACTATCCCACCTTCCTCATAACAAATGTAAATTACCATTCGATACTAAGATCTCATTTCGTAAGTATAATGAGGTACTAGCTAATAACTTTATTACAGCAGTAAGCCACACTGACTGACACACCGTTTACTGACGATCAGAAAATTGACAAATGGGTCAGTGTTTAAAAAAAAATACAAAGCCTCTACAATAAGCATTGCCTTATTAAAACTAAGCAGATCACAACAAAGTCTAAGTAGTCCGGGGATAACATATACCATCCTCAGGTTCACTGATAAAAAAATGAAAACAATGCACACTGGGATTAACAGCTGAAGGACATACTAAAAATTATACAACTGTACTTACCAATCTAATAAGGAAGTCCAAACAACTGTATTATGCTAGCAAGTTAGTGAAATAAAAAAGGCTATGAAAATGACCTGAAATTTTTTTCCCTAATCCTGGACTCTTGAAGTGACCAAAACCAGAGATACTGTCCTAACTAAACACAGCATATAGTATCAAGTCTAGCTAGGAAAATCCCAAGTTCTTATGCCCCTGGATGGAAATAAATGGTATAAAATACCGACACAATGGAAATATGTGTGATGAATGGTTTGAAAAACCGACAAGTTGAAGATTGAGACACTTATGCAGCATATGGGAATCTTTATTCAGAAAACGTTTCGCCACACAGTGGCTTCATCAGTCCAATACAAAGAGGAAGGCGTAAGGAAAGGAGGAGTATGAGGTAATCAGTCCCTCAGCCTGGAGTCGATGTGTTCAGTCCATCAATCTTGTAGAATGTACAGCATAGGGCCGTAGACGTGGCTTATATACTGTAGTGAGGTGACTTGAAGCAGACGGAGGCGGGATCATAGTGGTATCATCCACTAATCGAAGTAGGTCTTTGTCCAAAGGTTGAACAAGCGTTGAAGAATTCTTTTTAAGAAGAAATATAAACACAAATGCAGTATAATATGATCCTTTATTGACAACGTTTCACCCACACAGTGGGCTTTTTCAAGTCACACACGGATCTACCTGGGGTTGGAAGGTACGAGAGTATTTATAGTCATGTTCAGAATGTTGAGGTCAGGTGAAGAATGCTACCGGGTGGGGTTATAGAGTCTTGGGTAGCTTGGCAGGGGTATTACAGAAGGTCTACAACTTGTCCAATACCCCTGCCAAGCTACCCAAGACTCTATAACCCCACCCGGTAGCATTCTTCACCTGACCTCAACATTCTGAACATGACTATAAATACTCTCGTACCTTCCAACCCCAGGTAGATCCGTGTGTGACTTGAAAAAGCCCACTGTGTGGGTGAAACGTTGTCAATAAAGGATCATATTATACTGCATTTGTGTTTATATTTCTTATGCCCCTGCTGGAAGTTTTCTAAACTCACACTATGTCCAGTTAATCCTGCTGAGGTCAGTAAGTTTATTTAGACACAGGCACGCATAAATGCAATCATCATACATAGTATAAATTACCTAGGATAAACCCCAGAAGAGTCAGTGACTTATTTCCATTAGGGTCCTTGTCATTGACAAGACGCTGAAAAATAAGGCAGGAATCTTAGCTGATTTGCCCCCACTAGGTGAGGCTGCCCGAAATGTACTGCATAACCTGGGGCTTTCCATAAATTATATCTGCAATATCATCTTCCAACCAACTGCAAACCATAGTTCATAGAAATAAATTATGGGAATGGGAGGCATTCAGGTTTGACCTAAGGAAGGATATGACAGGCCAAATTCCTCGGATTAAGAGCTCCCCTTCTCAATTATTATTATAATAAAAACTAAGCGCTAAACCCACAAGGTCATACCCCTTCTCCAGCATCAAGGGACTACTTCTCTTAAGGGACATGGATTACCCAAATGCAAAAGTTGCTAACTCAACAATGTAGCGGTAACTTGCTGAGGTGGCAACACTGGTGATGCTGCTGCAGTATTTACAAGTGTCAGCTGATCCTCCCACGCACACTTTCTGTATAGGTGATTTATTTTCCTCTTGTATTGTATAAGAAACATATAATAGTGACATTTTTCCCAAGTTATCAGCCGTATTTGACACACGTAACAGCGTAGCGTCCGAAGTTGAGTGAGAAATATAATGTGTAATTCAGCTCGACTTTTGCAATTTTCTTTTCATGTTTGCATTTGTGTAGTTTATATTACAAGCATTTAAAATCTATTAATGTGTAATACACAGTAATAAATGGCAGGGCATGGGAATGACCTGGTTAAAACACCTCCATAACTCCAGGTACAATTCAATTTCTGAGACATATTATGAGGTCGATATTACCACTAGCTGCCGGCGTTACTAAATTTTTATTTACTCTTTGGGTACATAAAATGTATATTTTTTGAGCCATGGTGTAGAATTTTCCCGGTGACAGAAAGCATTTTATATTATAAAAACCATGTTATGAATTGCACAGAAAAAAGTCAACTTTTTGCAATTTGTTTATTTAGTTGATAATTGGAAAAATAAGGATTCCCTTTTAATGTAAATTATTTGCATATTAATGCGGAGTCAGTTATATTTAAAACAAATAGAAAAGAAGCTTTATTCTAATTGTGTAACTGTATTTAGGTGTGCCTGTACCTAAAAGCCATAAATGAAATCGAAAGAAACCCAAAGTATTTCTTCTCCTATGCCAAATCAAAGTCGAGAACAACGTCCAGTATTGGGCCCCTACTTAAACAAGATGGGTCCTACACAGATGACAGCAAGGAAATGAGTGAGCTACTCAAGTTCCAATATGACTCAGTTTTTAGCAAGCCGCTAACCAGACTGAGAGTCGAAGATCAAAATGAATTTTTTATGAGAGAGCCACAGAATTTGGTTAACACAAGCCTGTCCGATGTTATCCTGACGCCAAATGACTTCGAACAGGCGATAAGTGACATGCTCATGCACTCTGCCCCAGGGCCAGACTCATGGAACTCCGTGTTCATCAAGAACTGCAAGAAGCCCCTATCACTAGCCTTTTCCATCCTATGGAGAGGGAGCATGGACACGGGGGTCATCCCACAGTTACTAAAAACAACAGACATAGCCCCACTCCACAAAGTGGGCAGTAAAGCAACAGCAAAGAACTACAGACCGATAGCACTAACATCCCATATCATAAAAATCTTTGAAAGGGTCCTAAGAAGCAAGATCACCACCCATCTAGAAACCCATCAGTTACACAACCCAGGGCAACATGGGTTTAGAACAGGTCGCTCCTGTCTGTCTCAACTATTGGATCACTACGACAAGGTCCTAGATGCACTAGAAGACAAAAAGAATGCAGATGTAATATATACAGACTTTGCAAAAGCCTTTGACAAGTGTGACCATGGCGTAATAGCGCACAAAATGCGTGCTAAAGGGAATAACAGGAAAAGTCGGTCGATGGATCTATAATTTTCTCACTAACAGAACACAGAGAGTAGTCGTCAACAGAGTAAAGTCCGAGGCAGCTACGGTGAAAAGCTCTGTTCCACAAGGCACAGTACTCGCTCCCATCTTGTTCCTCATCCTCATATCCGACATAGACAAGGATGTCAGCCACAGCACCGTGTCTTCCTTTGCAGATGACACCCGAATCTGCATGACAGTGTCTTCCATTGCAGACACTGCAATGCTCCAGGCGGACATCAACCAAATCTTTCAGTGGGCTGCAGAAAACAATATGAAGTTCAACGATGAGAAATTTCAATTACTCAGATATGGTAAACACGAGAAATTAAATCTTCATCAGAGTACAAAACAAATTCTGGCCACAAAATAGAGCGAAACACCAACGTCAAAGACCTGGGAGTGATCATGTCGGAGGATCTCACCTTCAAGGACCATAACATTGTATCAATCGCATCTGCTAGAAAAATGACATGATGGATAATGAGAACCTTCAAAACTAGGGAGGCCAAGCCCATGATGACACTCTTCAGGTCACTTGTTCTATCTAGGCTGGAATATTGCTGCACACTAACAGCACCTTTCAAGGCAGGTGAAATTGCTGACCTAGAAAATGTACAGAGAACCTTCATGGCGCGCATAACGAAGATAAAACACCTCAATTACTGGGCGCTTGAGGTTCCTAAAACTGTATTCCCTGGAACGCAGGCGGGAGAGATACATGATTATATACTCCTGGAAAATCCTAGAGGGACTAGTACCGAACTTGCACACGAAAATCACTCACTAACGAAAGCAAAAGACTTGGCAGACGATGCAACATCCCCCCAATGAAAAGCAGGGGTGTCACTAGCACGTTAAGAGACCATACAATAAGTGTCAGGGGCCTGAGACTGTTCAACTGCCTCCCAGCATACATAAGGGGGATTACCAACAGACCCCTGGCAGTCTTCAAGCTGGCACTGGACAAGCACCTAAAGTCGGTTCCTGACCAGCCGGGCTGTGGCTCGTACGTTGGTTTGCGTGCAGCCAGCAGCAACAGCCTGGTTGATCAGGCTCTGATCCACCAGGAGGCCTGGTCACAGACCGGGCCGTGGGGGCGTTGACCCCCGGAACTCTCTCCAGGTAAACTCCAGGCTAACTTAACCTAGTCCAGCTGTGAAATTATCGATTAGGTTAGGCTGGGTAACATTACATTAGGGGGTGGTTAGGCAGCCATAATCACCCCCTTCTAAGCTCTTCAGGTTCACCAACTCTATATTACAGTCCATTGAGCCCAAAACTTCCTGTTTTTGTTACGATCCACTGGGTAAATGGATTTCGAATTTAATGAACTTAGTTGATTAAACCCAGAATTGTTTTGGTATTGTTGCAACCACAGAAAAACAATGAGATCATTCAGATGTAGCAAGCAGTTGGCAGTAACACACTACCTTTCCCCCATCCCCCGTTAATTTGAGGTTTCACTGTACAGTATTTAAAATATGATGGATTCACTAACAGTAGTAGTAATTCAGTTACACAGGGATTTTATGAACATACATGTTGCAGTGAAGCATTTTCTATATCTGACACAGACACTGGTCTTGATGTTAGTGAAGGACTCTTGATTAAAAAAAATTGGAAGTAACCCTCCCCTTCCTTGGATCAATTCTGATTACTTCCTCTTTCCCAGGCTCTGTGACCCACATTCATTTAGCACTTCCCCCATGTATATAATAATAATTAATATTGATAATAATAATTGTCATTGGTATGCAGTGTAATGGTTGCTTACACCGACAAACCACACATGATAGAGTGGATAGGGGAGCAATATGGCAGATGTTGCAAGTTAGAATTTTCACGAGGATAGTGAGGTTCAGGTTAGGGTATGTAGGAGACAAGGAGATTATTTCTCGATATGTAAAAGTAGGCCTTAGATGGGGATGCATGATGTTACCATGGTAGTTTAATATACTAGTTATAGATGGATTTGTAAGAGAAATAAATGCAGGGATTTTGAGAATAAGTATGGCATTGGAAGATAAAGAATCTAACACAAAGTGGGAGTTGTTGCAGTTGCTTTTTACTTATGACACTGCTTTTGGGAGATTCTGAGAAGTTGCAAGGTTGGTGAATGAATTTGGGAGGGTATATAAAAGAAGGAAATTAAAAGTGAACCTACGAATGAGCAATGTGATGAGGGTAACAAAAAATTTAGGAAGTGAAAAATTGGGCATCAGATCAGATTGGAGGGTGGGAGTATGGAGGAAGTGAATGTGTTCAGATATTTGGAAGTGGATTTGTCAGCAGATGGGCCTATGAAAAACAAGGTGAACCATAGAATCGATGAGGCAAGAAAGGCGAATGGTTTATTGAGGCACCCGTGAAGACAAAGAACATTATCCATGGAGGCAAAAAGGAAATGGACGAGAGTATAGTGGTGCCAACACTTATGGGTGTGAAGCATGGATTGTAAATGTTGCAGGGAGGAGGGGACTGGAGGCAGTGGAAATGCCATATCTGAGGGCAGTGTCTGGTGTGCACATTATGGAGAAAATTTGTAGGTTGGAGATGGGAGGAGGCATGGGATTACTAAAAGTATTATCCAGAGGGCTGAAGAGGGGTTGTTGAAGTGGTTTGGACATTTAGAGAGATTGGAGCAAAACAGGATGACTTGGAGGGCGTATAAATCTGTAGTGGAGGGTAGGCGGGGTAGGGGTCGTCCTAGGAAAGGTTGGAGGAAAATATAAGAACATAAGAACATAAGAACGAAGGAACACTGCAGAAGGCCTACTGGCCCATGCGAGGCAGGTCCAAGTCTCCTACCGGCTTAAGCCAATGCACCCAACCTAGTCAGGTCAGGTCACATTGACTTAAGGGAGGAACACGGCAACCGACCTGGTAGCACAAGCTATCAGGTCTAACTCACACCCACCCACATCTACTCATGTATTTATCCAACCTATTTTTAAAGCTACACAACGTTCTGGCCTCTATAACGGTACTTGGGAGTTTGTTCCACTCATCCACAACTCTATTACCAAACCAGTACTTTCCTATATCCTTCCTGAATCTGAATTTTTCCAACTTAAAACCATTGCTGTGAGTCCTGTCTAGGCTAGATATTTTCAGCACACTATTTACATCCCCTTTATTTATTCCTGTCTTCCATTTATACACCTCAATCATATCCCCCCTAATTCTACGTCTTTCTAGAGAGTGCAGTTTCAGGGCCCTTAGTCTATCCTCATAGGGAAGGTTTCTGATACATGGGATCCACTTTGTCATCCTCCTTTAGGAGGCTTTGTGTACGAGGGGCTTAGACATCCAGCAAACGTGTTAGATAGGTTGTTGGAGTGTGAGCAAAGTAACATGAGTCCTGGAGGTGGTAAGTACAGTGCTTGAACTCTGAAGGAGGGCTGGGGATATTTGCAATTTAAAACTATAGTATTGCCATGCCTCTGGGAAGACAGTGATGGAGTGAGTGATGGTGAGAGTGTTTTTTCTTTTTTGGGTCGCCTTACCTCAGTGGGAGACTGCCGGTGTGTATAATAATAATAATAATAATAATAATAATAAAAATAATAATAATAATAATAATAAAAGATACTGGTGTAAGAAACTAAAAACTTTTACAAGTTGCAATAGTTTTGAAAAATTTACAAGCTTCAGTTAACAGTGAATAAATTTTGTAAGTGTTGGACATATAGAGCAAACAGTGTGAGGATGTCAGTGTTGAAAGAGGTGCAGGAAATGCTACCTCTGGAAAAAGTCTTACTTTATCTATGCATATTCTTAAATTTTCAGTTCACTTTCTAAGCAGCGACTGAGCAACTTTGCCTTCATTAAAGATGTTTCTGTGGCCATTCAGTGTTCTGTATTCCATATATTGAAATATAAGCTAAACATCTTTTTTTTTTCAGAAACATGCTTTGGTATTATAAAAGTTTATGAAGAAAAACAAGTTCAGAAAAAGTATGAAATAGATGATGAGTCATTCAAGTGGTTCCCCAACAAGTTTGACTGAGTTTGGGCCCCTAACACCTGATGAAAAGCCTCAGGGTTATGGATTTTCCTTTTCTAAGCTCTTTCAAAGAGCAGTTCGAGGTAGGGGAAAAATATTTACTACATGGTTAAAAATGTAGTAAATGATTATATACTTAATCTACCTATTTCATTTCAGAATTCTGTACATTGCTTCAGACATTTTACAGTTACTAAAGAAAATGCCCAGGGTTTTTGTGTTTTTAACCTCAGTGCTGTTTTCTTACTTTATTGATACGTATTTATAAAGCAACTAGTTTATTAGTTTCCAGGGTTCTCTGTAATCTTATATTTGCTATTCTTTATTGTATAAAATATTTTTGCACCCAGATTGAAGAGGGCCCAAGCAGAAAAAAATGAAATTTTACAATGTCATGAATGAAATATTCTAAGGGAATCATGCAAGATTACACACATATCTCCTGAGTGGGAGGTGCATGCTACCACTCGCACCATGAACAGGTAATATATATATATATATATACAAGCATGGTATTGAAATGTTTTTCTACTGAAACTACTGTACTAGGCTGTGGTAGGCACCCAATTAGTGCTCCAGAGCAGTGTTCCCAATAAGCTGTTCACCTGCATGGTAGTGCAGTGGTCAGGTAAGTGCCAATTATTATCATTATAATCAAGGGGGAAGCGCTAAACCCAGAGGATTATACAGCACCTGGGGGGGGATGTGGAAGGCATTCAGGCTTAATTTGGGAAACTGGAGCACAGATCCAATTCCCTAAATCAAGAGCCCCTCACCAACATCAAGGAACCTTCCTTGAGGGGAGGTAAATGCCAAGCACTAATTATTCAAGCTATACAGTCTCAATACTGTGACTTGAGTTGCAATGTTTCAGTTTTGGCAGAATGTTTTATACCTTTTCAAATTTTTACATACGTGTGGGCTTTGGTAACTTTATACTATATAGTAAACCCTTGGTTTAACAGACTTGGAAAATATGGAACAAAATCTGCTGGGTCATTTGATTTGGAAATAGATAAAGTTTGTTAGGTACAAAATTATTCATTGTTATTTCCTTTTTTTTTTTTTAACATGTCAGCCATCTCCCACTGAGGCAGGGTGACCCATAAAAGAAAGAAACACTTTCACCATCATTCATACATTGTTGTTATGATCACAGTAAAACAGTCTTGGCTCGATCCATCACAGTCACCATTACTGGCCACCTACTCCTCCCTATTAGTCTGTTAGATTTACATAAATTATATAAAGGCTGTTTCTTCCTTAACCCGTAAACGGTCCAAGCAGATCTACGTTCACATTTGTAGTGCTACAAAAGTAGATTAAGTTTTTTTACATATTTTCAAATACGTATAACAAAAAAAAAGTAGATCAAAGTTTTTTACACATTTTCAAATGTAGAAAAACAAAAAGAAGATCTACTTAAACCATACCCCCGGCCGGGATTGAACCCGCGGTCATAGTCTCAAAACTCCAGCCCAATCGTGTCATTACGATTTCTTGAGTCAGAAGATCTACTTTTTTTACATACTTTCAAATGTTGAAAAAACGTATATATACGTTTGGACCGTTTACGGGTTAACACACATCTGCATAATGCTTCAATACATATATACTTGTGCAAGTGATAAAATTCATTCTGCTCATAGAGACAAAATGCTCGGGAAATATTGCCCTAGACCTACATTTTACTCGGTGTTCTCTGTCACTCTGGTGCCCTGTAATGGGGTTCATAATCCTTTACACTTTCATCTACACAATGCTGTTCATAATAAAGTATCATGAATGTTACTGCTGGAGGCTGCAAGGCCTCCTTAGTGGGAGGTGGATATGCTACCAGCCATGCTAAGATTGCTACATGCTACAAGTATATAGGATTGTGAGATGTGTAGAAAGGATTGTAAAGGAGCGAGAACCAACTGGGGCCTACCACAATCAAGTTGTTTCAGTAGGACAGCAAGTTCCAATTTTTTCGTGATGTGACTGGTAGCATATATATGATAGAGGCCTGCATTTAATCACACAGTACCCCATCAGATAGTGGCCAAACCACACCAAAAGGAAAAAAAATTTATCATCACATTATTTCATCTCTGTTAGAATTACACAAATGTAATGTGTAGCTATTGTAAGTTTTGGCTATACGGTATTCGTCTTCAACATAGCTTCTCATACTAACTCAGAATTTTTTGCTAAGAAGGGGGCCCTGAATAAATTGTTAAATTGAATTAAACTGAATGACAGTGTTTATTCAGTAGTACTTCTAGATCTCGTGGACGAAGCATCTTCAGGCACCTATGTATATAAATACACTCTGAATGTTTGCACTTTAATGAAATGTTTGAGTTTTTATGTGTATGCAGCTCTGTATGGGAGGGTAATCTTTGCCATTTTAAGGAGAGTAATGCTCTCAAGAGTTTAAAACTTTGTTAACTTTGTATATAGACATCTAGAAATATACAGTCATACCTTTTTTTCCATATTGTATGTTACATATTAAGCTTTTTTAATTTTTAATACTTATAGCTCTCTGCTTGCTTGCCAGTATTTTGTTTGCCCATTAAACTTTTTCTAAATTTGAATGTTTTTTTAGGCCTTGCTAATATTATGATTTGATCATTTCTGGCTTTTTTCTCTGTTGAAACTTCTTGTGACTGAGTTCATTTCAATAAATTACAAATATTCTTCCAAAAGTTATGGATAGGTTTAGGCTTTGTTACTGGTAAATCACTTGCTAGGCAATCAACTACTTTACTGAATGTTATGAGGCATCACTAGTAGACATCCACCTGTTGTAATACTGTACTTGCTTTTTTTGTCCCATTAACACGGATGTCTCCATACCGGATGCTGGCACTGGGTTTATTTTGGATAATATTGTCTGTTTACTGTTAGTCTGTGTCACTGTCATAACTGTTGTAGTGCCATGAAGATTGTCTCCATCAGTCAGTCACTAGCATACATTCAATAGTAATCACATTAGATGTGAACTGTTCATCAGGGATAACCTGTTATTCCGTGTTTTTAATTTGCAATAAATAGTGTTGTAAATGATTCTTTTGAGCCTACTCAAACATGAATTGCTTGATGAAAAGTCATGGTTTTGCTATTTCATGAAAAAAAGTTTAAAAGTTCATTTAAAAATTGCCTATACTTGGTTGTGATAAATTATGTGATATAAATACGTACTTAAAAGTTAAGTGTTCTTGAAATTCTCAACCAAGTGCTGCTGTAAAAAGAGTAAGAATATTAAATGCTCTTCAAGAAGGGTTTTGTGATGCTGATAAAGAGCTTTTAATCCAAGGAATTGGAGTTACTTTCCCATTCCTTGGATCAAGCTTGATTACTGGCTATTCCTGGGAGTTGTACTACTTATGTGGGTTCAGAGCTTCTCCATGATTATAATTTATAATAATAATCTTGAATATAGACCAAGCTACAGATTTTCTGCATAATATTTACACTGCATATTGCTCTCAGATATGACATCTCCACTGTCTCTAGCTCCTACTTGTTGCAATTCACAACCCTTGTTTCATACCCATATAAGAATGTTGGTACTACTGTACTTTAATACATTCCCCTTTTTGCCTCTGTGGATAACGTTCTTTGACTCCACAGATGCCTCAATGCACCACCCACCTTTTTTCCTTCATTAATTCTATGGTTCACCTTGCCTGTCATATACCCATCAGTATTTATAAAAGCAAAAAACTGTTTCATGTGTAATGAATTAAGTGAAGTATTGCTATACTAAATTTAGACGAGTTTCTTTCCTTCCATAAAATTTATTATACATGTACCTTATATAATATTGATGGTTCCTTTTAACTCATCTCTTATTCAGCTGCCTCAGTTACCTCCATGAATGATACTTTTTCAATCACTTTTGAGATGTAATTAATGTGTTGTTGAGGAAGAGATATGTTCTTCACAAAGTTAATTTCTTTCCTTGTTTAGCATCTCTCTGATGTCTCCATCAGTTGCTAAAGCAGTAATATGTTTATTTTTTTTATTTTTAACACTAGCTGTCTCCTACAGAGGTAGGGTGGCCCAATGAAGAGGAAACACTTTCACCATCACTCATGTTTATTATATCGTGTTTTAATGGATTAGGTCCCCAGAATTTACAAATTACTTACTCACATAATGTGGACTGGAATTGATTTACAAATTCATCCCATTCACGAGTCTGGTGTTGCTGGCTGGATATTTTGAAACCTGTCAAGTTATTTTCTGGAAATGAGCATAAACCAGTTTAATTAAAAGCCAACACTATCTTTTTATTGAGGATCAAAATTAGGACATTTATATTACTCGTTTTGCACAATAACTAGCTTGCCAAATGTACTAAAAACAATTTAAAAAAATGTAAAGGTAAGGATATGTTTTAATCAAAATAATATGAAGCTTAATTGTTTGATGCATGAAATTTACAATAACAATTTTAACAATAGCAATGATGCATTTAAAAGTACAGTAATCACAGGTATTTATGTCTTCCATGTATGGTATAGTATGGTATGTGTACACTTTTTTCAACTAGATTATATATATACTTTACTAAATCCTTAGTTTTTTCCTAGCTTTCCTTGCACGAAATTCCCATGTTTACCTCTTCATGCCAAATACAGGAGCAACAGGCTCATCGAGGTCCAGCACTCCATCAGATCAACAGAAGCAGGATCAGCATGATCAAGTTGGGAGTAGCAGAGAATCAGACCACCAACCTGTGTCACGATCAGATTCCCTTATTGATGGAGGGCCAGGTTGGCTTGAAAAGGTGATTAGTTACTTATCCAAATGTTTATAATAAGATTCGCTCATTTAGTCTACTCATGCATTGTGGTCAGTATCGTATACAGGAATGGTGCAAAATCTGATTCTTATGTTGTGTGTTCAGTAAAACCTACTGAAAATACTAAATTGTTTGATTTGTGCCTGCATTTTGTGCAGCTATACATTTACAGTACAGTGAACCCCAGGTTATTGGCTGTAATCCATTCCAGAAGGTCAGCTGATAACCAAAATGGACAAAACTGAATTAATATTTCCCATAAGAATTAATCCGTTCCAGGCAAAAATATTCACAAAAACAATAATTTTTTAAGAATTATGTAAGTATTACATACCTTTATTGAAGGCTAATGCTGGCTTCTGGAAGATACGAAAGAGGAAAGAGGGAGGAGTTAGTGTTTAGAAGGGAAATCCCCCACCATAAAGACTTTAGGTAGCAAAGCCTTCTCTGGGGTTACTTCCCTTCTTTGTCTTATAATGACTTGAGAGTCACTGGACCCCTGTCTCATAAAATAACTGCCCAGAGCACTCTGTTTCTGGACTCCTCAAGACTGTCTCCCACTAATTCTTTTTCCTTAATCCACAATAATAATAACTTTTCCATCTCTTCCATTATTGGTGGCCTTTGTTTAGTTAGAAAAGTTACTCCTTTTACAACATTAGTGTCTTTGATTTGTTCTTTCTTTGCCAGGATGGATGTAATTGTAGATTTATTTTGCTGTACATCCTGGCAAGTTCCACCACCTTCATACTGCTCTCAAACTTTTCTGTCACTTCACATTTAAATTCCATTGTGTTTCTTACTTTCTTTACCACAGGAACTTTCTTTGGAGCCATGGTTACTTATTTCACAGTTGCACTGCAAAAAAAAAAAGAACCCCTAAAAACAATGGAAAACAAGCGAAATGTCTGGATGTATGAGCAGAAGCTTCCTCTAACTTTTCTATCACTTCACGCTTAAATTCCATGGTGTTTCTCACTTTTTTACCACAGGAACTGTCTTTGGTGGTTACTTATTTCACAGTTGCACTGCAAAAAAAAAAACTAAAAACAATTGAAAACAAGCAAAATGTTTGGATGTATGAGCAGAAGCTTCTTCAGCCACCAAGAGACAAAGCCAGACTGACGCGCAAGTGGCCCCAGCCAGCGGATGGATGTGTCCCAAACGGCTGATCACCGAATTAACGGCCGATAACCGGGTGCCGAAAAACTGGCCGATGACCGAGTTGGCGGAAAACAGAACCGGCCGATAACCGGGGGTCCACTGTATTTGATATTTTGGAAGTCTTTTATATCATTATCACCATATACTTTACATGGCATGACATTGTGTATGCTGCAGTAATCATTTTCATAAAAAAATGGCTCTCTTACTCCTCAGTTTGTGTTTATGCATATGATTACATTTTATTACCTCCCTTTCATTTATGCTCTCTTATTGGTAATTTCACCTTCCACCTAGCCTTGATAAATATTTTGTAAGTTTTAAATTTCCATTATTCCTTCGTACTGTAGACATGCATATTAATGTTTCTCAGGTCTGAATCTAATTTTTGCTTTCTGATTTGGCTGTCTCTCTCAAAAAAGAGCATATGTCTGGATATTTGTATCCAAGGCATACACTCTGTGAATTGCAAAGACAAGTTTAATGTAACTTATGCTAGCAATGAGACTGGGCAGGGTAAATGTTCCGAGATTTGTAGGAAATGTAAAGAGCTTTGGAGAGGTATGACATAGGTATTGTATAATGACATTGATTACCAAAGGACTCTCCTGAAGAAATTACCAGATATATAAATTGTGGAAACTGAAGTAAAAACAGATATTATGGCTAGTGAAAGGGTAGAAACATGGGTAGATCATCACAGTGAGACAGAGAGAGTGATGCAGGAATAGTGATATACTGTAGAAGAAATATATTCAGAGTAAAATAAAGAGGAAAACTCGGAACACCCCACAATAAATAAAACTGCAGCTGTAACAGAAAGAGACAAATGTGGTGAAATATAAACGTACATTGCCAGGGGTATCCGCAAACATGGAATAAAATGTATATTCCTACACTTCAGAAAGTTTTCCAGTATGTTATAAAGGGAGTGTTGTTTCGTTAAAGATTGCAAATACGTATGTTCAACCTGAGATGTGTAAATCATTACTACAGACCAGAAAACCTTAAGATAGGTTGTCCTCCTGTCACTGCATCCAGACCTGCTTCTGAAAAGAACACAATGATATGAAATTGTTAAGCCAATGAATGCATGGTAAACAAAGATTATTTTTAGGCAGAGAGAGCAGTGATCTGAAGGAAGAACAAGGATAAACACTTGAGAGACAACATGGGGGAGGGGAGGTTAGAGAGATACCTGGCAGTAGAACACAATGGAACTTTCCATTATCTAGTTTAGATGTGTTAGCAAGTTTAATTGCTAACACATAAAATACTGTATTACTTTGCTTTATTCCCAAATTGTAGTGGAGGGGAAGAGGGGTAGGGGTTGTCCTGGAAAAGGATGGTGGGTAGGAGTAAAAGAGGTTTCGTTTGTCATGGGCTTGGACATACAGTAGGCACATGTGAACATGTTGGATAGGAGTGAATGGAGATAAATGGTTTTTGGGACTTGATGAGCTGTTGGAGTGTAGCAGGGTACTATTTTGTGAAGAGATTCAGGGAGACTGGTTAGCCAGACTTGAATCCTGGAGGTGGGAAGTACAATGCCTGCATTTTAAAGGAGAGGTTTGGGATATTTGCTGTTTGGAGTGATATCTGAACTATCTTACCTGCTTGCCTCTGCAGAGACAGTGATTGTGTGAATGATGGTGAAAGTGTTTCTTTTGGGTCATCCTGCCTCTGTGGGCATTGGCTAGCATGTTGGAAAAGAGAAATGTTTCATTATAACAAAGCAAAAGTGAATAAAATAGAGAATGAAATGGTTAGTGAGAGGTATGAGCACCTGCTGGAAGAAAGGTAGACTGATGCAGGAGAAAGTAATGCAGTTGAGGAGATGTTGTGTAGATTTTAAAATGTAGTTTTAATGTGTACAGCAGAAGTTTATTATAAATGGAGGATGCAGGAGGGAAGCAACTCATCCTCCAACTTTTTTGTGTGTTTGGAAGAAAACGCATGCTCTGAGTTAGTACAATGTGCCCTGCACTGCCAGATGTAAGCGGCCCATTTTTTATTTTGTTATTGTTGGTTACTTGTAAGTAAATATTAGTTACAGTAATATAAGTTAGCCTAGCTAAGTCAGCCATGCCTGATCTTACCAAAAATGACAAATATTAAAATTCCAGGATATGTTAGATCGTGCAAAAATGCATGAATGGCAATTTGGAAGAAATTACACATACTAATTGGAGAACAGGTTGAGGGAAGAGGAAAGATTGGTAAGATGATGAGGTAAAAAGGGAATATGTGCTTTGGAGAATCGAGTTCGACTTCAAGTTGTCAGTGCATCCTTTTGAGCACAGCCCATAAAATACCATGCTATACATCTGGCAGTTTCTTTTATCATTCTTTGTAGCTACAAGTCTGATGGTTCTCATGTACAGTACAATACACTTGCTATTTAGTGCACAGCTGTAAGCGTCCTGCGTTTAATTGCATGAGTAGAAACACAGGCATGCTTACACAGATTTGCATGGTTTGTCAAAGCACATTTTTTTTTTATTGTGTAAATTTTGCTTGACAAAGGTCCTGAACTAAAATACTGTATGTTGCTCTTCATAGTGAAATGCTTAAAATTAATTAGTTTTATTGCTTCTCTAGGGGATGACAGATACTGCAAGCATGGACTCAGAAACGTCTGTTACATCATCCACGTCTTCACTCCTTTGCAAAGTTGGACCAGCTTCTTCATCAGGCCATGACCGAACATTACCCAATGTCCTCACCAGGATAAGGAACATCATAGATAATCGAGGCTCTGTTAGTATAAACATTATTTCTACAGCATTTTTTATTGCAGTTCAACATATTAATTGTAAAGTTGTATTGTTATTGGGAAAATGTAAATATTCTTGCTCTGGAATTTCGATTACTATACTGTACTTAAAAAATAATTTATAGTACACATGTAGCTTATTGCTATGCTGTAGCATAGCAGTTGTTCATTCCAGAAACTTCTCAGACTTAAGGATAAGAGTGAGAGTGTAATGGGTATAATTCTTATTCTTTCAACAAACTGGCCATATCCCACCGAAGCAGGGTGGCTCAAAAAGGAAAAACGAAAGTTACTCTTTTTATCTTTAGTAATGTATACAGGAGAAGGGGTTACTATCCCCTTGCTCCAATGGTTATAATTATAACCATAATTTTTAAAGGGGTGGACAGGTAAGACAACCACAGGTAAGATAACCACAAGCTCCAGCTGCGGGTCATCATATGACTAAGACCTGCATCAGGGAACACTTGTCCTATTTCCTGACAAACCTTACCTAACCTAACCTTGAGGACAGGGTTTCATGGTCAGGCACACACTAACTATTAGGAAATTGTTAGGTATATTTTTAAGTCTTCACATTTGTCTAAGTAATATTTCTTTATTTACTAATTTTTTTTTTAACACATTGGTCGTCTCCCACTGAAGCAGGGTGACCCAAAAAGAAAGAAAATCTCCAAAATGAAAATACTTTCATCATCATTCAACACTTTCACCTCACTCATACATAATCATTGTCTTTGCAGAGGTGCTCAGACATGACAGTTCAGAAGTCCATCCAAACTGCCAATACCCCAAACCCCTCCTTTAAAGTACAGGCATTGTACTTCCCATTTCCAGGACTCGAGTCTGGCTAACCAGTTTTCCTGAATCCCTTCACAAAATATTACCCTAATATTTTGTGTTTTGGATTTACACGATAAGTCATTTCTGTATCTTTCATATGGCTGCCTTACTTTTCACTCATTAAGTTATTGTCCTTTCAAGAAGGGATGGGGTGAAGTGCGCAATGCTGGTGAAGGATTTGAGCCAAGGAATTGGAGCTACTCTTTTTTTTTCTCAGATCAAACCTAATTTCTCTCCATTTCCTAGGTGCTGTATGACCCCTGTAGGTATAACATTTTAAAAGAATTTAACAGTAATACCAGTGATATGAATTTATTGTGCATGTTTTCCTTACTTTCAAAAAGTTCATATTTTATAGGATAAATTGAAAACTAGTCCATCAAGTTTATACATTTTTCTAATCATTGATGATGCATGAATAATGTCATGACAGTTCAGTAATTAACATAATTGTAAACTCAGCAACATGATTGGTATGAATTTAATTAATGACTAATGATATGCCAGCAAAGCTAGTTATTGCCAATAAGTTCTTTTCTTTCTCATTGCTTTAAAATTAATTGGTTCCTTATTGTTTCATTTGTAAGTGCAAATGTGTGTAACGTGGGGTATTTGTAAGTTGGATGGAGGAAATTTGAATTAATAAAAAGTGTATACAGTTGTCCTAGATAGTAGGTTGGTAGACAGCAACCGCCCAGGAAGGTACTACCATCCTGCCAAGTGAGTGTAAGACGAAAGCCTGTAATGGTTCTACATGATGGTAGGATTGCTGGTGTCTTTTCTGTTTCGTAAACATGCAAGATTGTAGGCACGTCTTGCCACTTCTACTTATACTTAGGTCACATTACACATGCATGTACAAGCATATATATATACACACCCCTCTGGGTTTTCTTCTATTTTCTTTCTAGCTCTTGTTCTCGTTTATTTCCTCTTATCTCCATGGGGAAGTGGAACAGAATTCTTCCTCCGTAAGCTATGCGTGTCGTAAGAGGCGACTAAAATGCTGGAGCAAGGGGCTAGTAGCCCCTTCTGTATACATTAATAAAGTTAAAAAGAGAAACTTTTGTTTTACTTTTTGGGCCATCCTACTTTGGTGGGGTATGGCCGGTTTGTTGAAAGAAGAAGAAAGTGTACTATTGTGTGTACATTTTACTTGGCAGACTCCTCAACAGTACAAAGATTCTGACTTCAAACAGTATTGGCTACCAGACAGTGTAAGTCGAGAATGTTACGAATGTGAGGAAAAGTTTACTACATTCCGTCGAAGGCATCACTGCAGAGTTTGTGGTCAAATCTTTTGCTCTAGATGCTGTAATAGTATGATTCCAGGAAAGATCATTGGGTACACAGGTAAGTAATCATATTTTTTCTTGGTTGAAATAAGGAGTATTTTCAGTTTAGGCTTATTTTGTAATTTACAGTGGAACCTCAAAAATCGAACTTAATCCGTTCCAGGAGCTAGTTCTAAATTTGAAAAGTCTGAAATTCGAAGCAATATTTCCCATAAGAAATAATGGAAATACAATTAATCCGTTCCAGAAACCCAAAAATATTCACATAAAAAATACATTTTATAGAGATTAATTACAGTTTTACATACAACAAATACTATAGTTTTTAATTATGTATAGTAATACATATAAAATAACATTTTTACTTACCTTTATTGAAGATTGGTGATGGCATCTGGAAGATAGGGAGGAGGAGAGAGGGAGTTGGGGTTAGTGTATGGAAGGAGAATCCCCCTCCATGAGGGGTTACTTCCCTTCTCTGTCTTTTAATGCCACTAGGACCAGCTTGAGTGTCACTGGACCCCTGTCTCACAAAATAACTGTCCACAGTCCTCTGTTTCTGGCACCTCTTTAACATTTCCCTAAAATGGGACATGGTTCTGTCACTGAACTTGTTGCAAAGATGGTTTGATTCAGCTTGCTCAGGGTGGTACTTCTGCACAAACATTTGGACATCATTCCACTTGGCACAAATCTCCTTAATCTTTGAAGAAGGCACCTCATCCACTCCTTATATTAACACCTTTCGCAACATCAGCTTCCTTGATTTGTTCTTTCTTTGACAGGATAGAACTGATGGTCGACTTGTTTTTCCCATACATCCTGGCAAGCTCAACAAGTCTCACACCACTCTCATACTTCTGTATTATTTCCTTCTTTGCATCTATGGTGTTTCTCACTTTCTTTACCACAGGGGTACCACTAACAAGTTTCTTTGGGCCCATGGCAGTTTCTTTCACAGTCCCACAAGCACTAAACACAACGAAATAATCGTAAAATGCGTGAATGAGAGCGCAGGTTAGTGTTCACTCAAGCATAAACAAAGCTAGACTGCTCACGGCGCCTGCGCGGGGATGTGGACAGAGCGGGCCGGCAGACAGGTCCCGTACCTGGCGGTCCGAAAATAGGGGCGCGTTCGATAATGGGGACATAGTTTGTCCGAAAAAATGGTCCTATTTTCGAAATGTTCGATATGTGATACGTTCGATTTTTGAGGTTCCACTGTATTGTTATTTTCACAGAACTGTGTGATTTTTTTTTTGTTTTACAATTAGATCAAGGAGGGGTTTCACAATTAATAACATTTTCTAATGCAAAGTAAATTTGTGTGGTGTTATGATGCTTATATTTAATAACATATTCTTACATTTTTCACTGTAGGTATTAAAATTTGTAAATTTGAATCACCTTGAAAGTATTACCAATGAATAAATTGGCTCCCCCCTCTGTTTGACATAAAATTGGGCTTAAAAACCTTGACCTAAACTCGTGCAATGTACATACTGTAGGTATAGCTTTTTTTCCTACACTAAAACAAGTAAGTAATCACGGTTAGCTGGGAAAATACCAAGGCGATATGAGATATTACTTTACATTTATGCTGTGTTAATAGTTAATTGACCTTATTTTAATCATTTATTATATGAATGTATAACAGTGTAGTAAATAAAATTAATCTCTTTTTTTTTGTTTCAAGGTGAATTGCGTGTTTGCACATATTGCTGCAAAGTAGTCCTCTCCTACCTGCAGTCAAGCAACCTGGCTGCTGATGTTTTAGCAGATCTGAGGGCATTACAGGAAGAGCTGTTGCCACCCACACATGGTCAACCATTAGGCTCGCACTATCAGGATGCCACATTATACAGCTTCTCGGGGTCCAATACTCCTCTAGCAACACCGAGAGGAACTCTCCGTCGGCGACCATCACTTGGCTTCCAAGAAGAGAAGTATGCCACCAGAACCAGGTATGAAGAAAAACTTTGCTGATGGTTGTCAGTAAAAAATGGATTATCTATCTAGGTCAGGGTTGAAGGGATTATTTATAACCAGAACATGTAGGAAACTGCCCTCTTTCTGTGTACTTCCTCCTTAGTTAAGTTCTTGAAGTTTCAATTTTTTTGTATTTATTGAAATTCCTGGTACATCTACTTTCAGCAAACATGATTTTTTCCTACAAGTAATCTGCCCTTATATATGAGTGTTTTTTCCTAAAAGTAATCTGCCCATATGTATGCTAACAGTATTAACACAGTACAAAACAGTTAACCTCCTCTTAATTCTTTCACCCCATATTTGGATTTTATGTCACAGTAAGCAAGAGGTTGCTGCACTTCACCTTTCTAGTATAATTCTGCATTATAAATTTGATTTGCAGCTGTTCTGAGACCAAACTAGCAAATTCATCCACAGTTTATCAATATCATCTTTATTTGCACTTCATTAACTTGGTAAACCAGCCATAAGAATAATGTTTTATTTTATATACAGTTTGTGTTCATGTCAGTACATTAGATCTGGTCATTAATATAAGATTTCCAGTGTTGATTTTGTTAAGGTCAGTAAGGCAAACTACCAGTAGTTCCTCTGTGAGCACTTTTCAACCATCCACCACTCTATTTTTTTATACCTTCCTGTTTATTGCTAGGTGAATAGGGGCAGTAGGTGTAAGGAAGATTGCTTATCTCCTCTTTTATTCTCCTTGTAGTTGATTCCAAGACTTTCTTTATTGTACATTTTCATGTATTTTTGCAAATTTGTAATTGGTTATCATATCTCTGGTCTCCATGGGTAAGTGGAACAGAATTCTTTCTCCATAAGCCATGCATGTCGTAAGAGGCAACTAAAATGCCTGGAGCAAGGGGCTAGTAACCCCTTCTCCTGTATACATTGCTAGAGTTAAAAAGAGAAACTTTTGTTTTTCTTTTTGGGCCACCCTACTTCGGTGGGATATGGCCAGTTTGTTGAAAGAAGAAGAAAGATCTCTGGTCTCTTTATATATTGTTTGTGCCTTTGTGTAATTGTATTCTTATATGGATATTTTTTTAAATTGTGTAATGTTTCCAAGGACAGTACATATTCTTTTCTTTCTTTCAACACACCGGCCGTATCCCACCGAGGTGGGGTGGCCCTAAAGGAAAAACGAAAGTTTCTCCTTTAACATTTAGTAATACAGTGGACCCCCGCATAACGATTACCTCCGAATGCGACCAATTATGTAAGTGTATTTATGTAAGTGCGTTTGTACGTGTATGTTTGGGGGTCTGAAATGGACTAATCTACTTCACAATATTCCTTATGGGAATAAATTCGGTCAGTACTGGCACCTGAACATACTTATGGAGTGAAAAAATATCGTTAACCGGGGGTCCACTGTATATACAGGAGAAGGGGTTACTAGCCCATTGCTCCCACAGTACATATTGTATATAAAAAAAATTTATATCCTTAGGTATTCTAGTGGAGATTTTCAAGCATTTGGTGTACACCGTGACAATGATCAGATGACCGCAGAGCGTCAGTTATTGTTGAGAGACTCGCAGCAGCTTCACTCATTATGGTCACACATGGCAGGGGGGACTGGAGGACTTCCTTTGGGTTCTCATCGACATCGTCTTAAATCATTCCACAACTGTTTCATAGGAAAGGATCTGGTGCAGTGGCTCCTTGTTAATGACAAAGCATCTAGTAGGTAAGTTAAATTTGGCTTAGATTGCAGCTGATGTTCTGTTTTTATTATGCACAATAGGATGACTAGGAGGGTATATGAATCTGGGGTGGAGGGGGAGGGGTAGGAATCATCAAAGGAAGGGTTGGAGGGAGGGGAGTAAAAGAGGCTTTGGCTTTGAATTTTTGGGACTTAAGCATCCAGAAGACTTGTGTGAGTGAGTAAGGTAGGAGTGAATAGAGAAAAGAGGTTTTTAATGGCCATGCTGTTGGACTGTATGCAAGGTAACTTTTATGAAGGGATTCAGGGGAAACTGGTTTGCAGACTTGAGTCCTGGTGGTAAGAATGGCAGTGCTTGCACTCTGAAGGAGAGGTGGGGATGTTGCAGCTGGAGGGCAATCGGATTGTGATATCAGCTCACTGCTGGAAAAATGACAATTGAATGAATGATGGTGAATGTGTTATTTTCTTCTTTGGGTGGTCACCCTTGCTGAGAGATGACTGTGTTAAAAAACATTTATGTATTCCCTGAAGGGGATGATTATAGTGATTTCCCAAGTTGTTTTTCATCCTCTGAGTTGTCCCTGTAATAACTTGAGAATGTTTCTGCTGATTGACTTCAAAATTTTATCCATTGTGTATCATACTTAAAGGAAAGTTTATCTTGTTATTAAGTTGTGTATGTGCTAATGAATGTTCTCTGGAGAAGAACAGTGTTGTCACTAACAGGTTGATGTGGGGTGGCTGCCAGCTGGTATGAGTTAACTGTTAGCTGGTATGATATTGCTGCTAACATTGAAGTATTAACAGTATAACATCATAGTAAGAGTTCCTAAACATTGCACTCTGTATCTTTATTTTTTTATTATCATTTCTGTTTCTATTTTTGTGGAATGGGCATGAACTAATTTATCATATTTGTATATAGTACGGTACTAGTTCTTTACCTTAATTATTTTTATAAACGATGCCAATATTGCAGACAAATGCATTTTCTCTGTATCATGTGCTATCATTAATAAAAATATTAAAGCTTCAAAAGTTCCTGGTGGCTTATCCTCATTATCATTCCAGAGCTTCAGCAGTAGCCATCGGCCAAGCACTGCTAGAAGCAGGTTATTTGGTGTGCATATCCCAGCCAGAGCAGGTGTTCGTTGATGACTATGTTCTGTATCGTCCATTGCGTCCAAACAGTGGAAATTCAGAGAGAGAAGTGCAAGAAGGCTTGAGTCGCACTCAAGATGGAGGGCAAGAACCTCTTTGGGTGAAGCAGATTTCAAACATGGCGGAAGATTCAGGTTGGTATTTGCAGTTTTGAGTGACATATGAACTGTCGTATCTGCGAGCCTCTACGAAGACAGTGATTGTGCGTGAATGATGGTGAAGGTGTTTCTTTGTTTTTTGGGTCACCTTACTTTGGTGAGAGACAGCCAGCATGTATTATGATACATTTTGAGCACTTTATGCTTAGGTAGGGTATTGATAATATTTTGCAAGTTCAGTCATTTTAAAAGATGCATTTATAATTTTGCAGTATTTACAGTTTTTCATCCATTAGAAGGATCAGCTTTTTCATTCAATATGAAGCGGACCAAGCATGATGTAGACTATTCCTGTGTATCCATGCCTTGTATACACTGCCTAAACAAATACATCTTCCTCAGTGCTAAAGTTGAAGTGCCTCATCAAGAATACTACTGAATGGGCAGCTTACATATTTTTACATGAAATCCTTATAGAGGGGAGTTTTTGTGATGCTTGTTGATCACTGAGCAAGCATGGGCAAATTTATATTGTTGCTTAGGACATTTATTGTTGCTGGAGCTGGAATGTTTAGTAATTTAATTTTTTATCCATACTGATGTACTGTAGTGTATATATTTCCTCTCTCTATAATTAATTTAAGACTTCTTAGGTACCTAATGATTTACAGTGAGTTCTAGAGGATCACCCAGTAATAATATGATATATGATGAGCCTGGACATAGTGTAGAAACACCAACATCTATTACCTCATCCACCTCAAACTACTGCCTCGATCTCAACCTTCAGGATAATGTTGTCTCAATGAGAAAGCCTCTAAACATATCTAGGTGAGTTCCTATAGAAGACTGTTAATATATTTCACTAAATTATCTTTTTATTGTATGTGCATCTTGGTCTTAAAATCATCTATTATCACTGCTTTACTCCCTTTCCACTGTTCATTTGGCTCACCCACTTCTTCATACTCACCTCTAGCTCTTTCTTCCTAACAGATTCTGTTCGTGCCCCATGCATGAAATAGCTGCCTCTTTTAATCATCTACATTTAATAAAATCCACATTTAATACCACCTATTTAATCGCATACCTTGTTCATACTGAGCTACCAAGTCCATTTGTTACTATAACTTTCTAATCATTTATTTCTTTAAAACTGATTATCGTTCTTTGCAAAATTTGCTGATAAGGTCACTCATTCTGTCATTTGCTTTTTACATGCTCTCACTACTGTTGTTTAGCCTTCCTTTTTCTCACTTTATACTCTTCTTTCCTTTTATCATTTTTACATTGCATACTTTCCTTGTATCATTGTTGCATTGCAAAACCTTTCATATACTATCCTATTCTCCCTTCCCACCATTTTACCTCTTCATTTCACTAAGACTAATAAAAAAATCTAAACTTTATTATGCTGACAGGTTTAATGAAATAAAAGGGATAGGTTAGTCTTGAATAGGGGTTGCTCCAAGAATAATTGGAGGGAGAGAGTAAAGGAGGCTTTGAGTTGTAGGGGCTTGAGCATCCAACAGGCTTGCTTGTCTGTGTTGGAGAGGAGTGAATGGAAACAAGTTGTTTTTAATGGTCATACTGTTGAAGGATAAGCAGGATAACATTTATGAAGGGATTGAGGGGAAAACACTTAGCCAGGGTTGAGTTCTGGAGGTGAGGAGAGCAGTGCCTGCACTCTGTAGGAGAGATGGTGGTGGTGGTGATGCAGTTAGAAGTCATTATGAATTGTGATGTCAGCAGCTTGTGGCAAGATTGCAATTGAATGGTGTTGAATGTGTTTTCTTTGAGTCATCTTGCCTCTAGTAAAGCAACTTCATGACGAGTGGGTTCTTTGGACTAAATACAGAGAAGTTAGAACAAGCAGTATATCTAGTGCAAAAGGTCAAATGAGTATTAGTTAAAAGTGGGTTAACATACTAGAGATAACATATTGGGTTATATTTTAAAATAGGTTGGACAAATACAGTACATGAGTGATGGCAGTAGGCCTCCTGAAGTGCTTCCTGGTGCAGATTGGTTTCATCTAATGTTAGGCAAATCCTACTTGCACCCAATGGAGGCAATAGATGGGACGTTGCTACCTGGTATTGTCTAATTGCAGTATCCAGGTTGGATAGTAATCATTTTGCCAAAATTCTGGAATTGTTACAACTATTGGATTTCTATGGGATGTTGCTTGTGAATAACTTCTGTCTTGGTGGCAAATTACAAAAAAAGGCACAATACTGTGACTGGAACGATACACAAATAACCCGCACATAGAAGAGAGGAGCTTACGATGACGTTTCGGTCCGACTTGGACCATTTACAAAGTCACTTTGTAAATGGTCAAAGTCGGACCGAAACGTCGTCGTAAGCTCCTCTCTTCTATGTGCGGGTTATTTGTGTATCTTGGTGGCCTCTGAACACTTTCGATGGCATAGGTCATTTTCACACATAATTAATTTGGCTTCTCAATTCTTCATGAGGTGCCCCTGCGGGCTTCTGTAATAAACACAAGCATTGTTCAGGATTGCAGTTCAAAATATATTTTCAAGATTTGGAAGAATTCTAAATAGTAGAGCTCCAATTATGAGATGTTACTGAAATATAATTTTTACCTATTTTAAAAAATAAAGGTAGGAATAACTTTCCAAGAGCAGTAATGTCAATTAACAGTGTTCACTGATATCTTTAATGATGTATTAGCTGTGGCACTCAGTAGTTAAAGGTAATATAAGATGAATTCTTTTCAGCAGACGAAGCAGCTTGGATAGTGACGTGGTTGATAGTAAAAGCCCTGTAGGCAGTCCTTTAGGAGAAGCCCCATATTCTACAACAGTTTCTGCAGCACTAAGTGCAAGTGCTCAGCTGTCACTCTCAAGGGAGGCCTTAGGAGGAACTACTGCTGTTATGGCTGAGGAAGTCTTACAGGTAATTACTATAGGCTGATTAGTTCTGTTTGTATCTATTTTTATGGTATTTTGCAATAAAGTGGAAGCTTCAATAAAATCTTCCTAAGTCAATCTTGGATATTACAAAAATACATTTGGTTCAAGTAATATCGAAGTGCAGCAACTGTAAAAGTAATAATGCACTACTGTAATATTTCTATTACCTGTAACATCTGATGGTCCTGAGAATACTCTGAACCTTTCTGTCACGCATAGTACCACTTTAAAGTATTAGAATTCCTGTTTAAATCTTGATAAACCAGTGGTTGCTCTGCAAGTTTAGCTCAGTACAAGTAGCAAATGCTCATTAGTCATAATTCTTGTTAACTTCATGGGTTTTACTGACAGAGTATCTGCTAGTGGCTGCAGGATTCATTGTTATCTTCATACATTTTTTTATTTGTTACTCAATTGTGCTATAATAGCTGGCTTATCATGTTATATTTATGATTATTTATGAATTAGTATAATGTTTAATAGGTCTGACACTTCCTGTGATTGTTTCACATGATGGTAGGATTGCTGATGCCTTTTTTCTGTCCCATAAACATGAAAAGTTTCAGGTATGTCTTGCTACTTCTGCTTACACTTAGGTCACACTACACATACATTTTTTTTTTTTTTTTCAACAAGTCGGCCGTCTCCCACCGAGGCAGGGTGACCCAAAAAAGAAAGAAAATCCCCAAAAAGAAAATACTTAATATACAAGCATATATATATACACCACTCTGGGTTTTCTGCTATTTTCTTTCTAGTTCTTGTTCTTGTTTATTTCCTCTTATCTCCATGGGGAAGTGGTCCAGAATTCTTCCTCCGTAAGCCATGCGTGTTGTAAGAGGTGACTAAAATGCCAGGAGCAAGGGGCTAGTAACCCCTTCTCCTGTATAAATTACTAAATTTGAAAAGAGAAACTTTTGTTTTTCTTTTTGGGCCACCCTGCCTTGGTGGGATATGGCCGGTTTGTTGAAAGAAAGAAGAAGAAGAAGAAACATGAAAGGTTTCAGGTATGTCTTGCTACTTCTGCTTACACATAGGTCACACTACACATACATATACAAGCATATATATACACACCCCTCTGGGTTTTCTGCTATTTTCTTTCTAGTTTCGTTCTTGTTTATTTCCTCTTATCTCCATGGGGAAGCGGACCAGAATTCTTCCTCCGTAAGCCATGCGTGTTGTAAGAGGTGACTAAAATGCCAGGAGCAAGGGGCTAGTAACCCCTTCTCCTGTATAAATTACTAAATTTGAAAAGAGAAACTTTTGTTTTTCTTTTTGGGCCACCCTGCCTTGGTGGGATATGGCAGGTTTGTTAAAAAATATATATATGGACCCACCCCTCTGGGTTTTCTTTTATTTTCCTGCTGGTTCTTGTTCTTGTTTATTTCCTCTTATCTCCATGGAAAAGTGGAACAGAATTCTTCCTCCATAAGCCATGCATGTCATAAGAGGCAACTAAAATGCCGGGAGTAAGGGGCTTGTAACCCCTTCTCCTGTATACATTACTAAAGTTATAAAAAGAAACTTCTGTTTTTCTTTTTGGGCCACCCTGCCTTGGTGGGATACAGCTGGTTTGCTGAAAGAAGGTGGCCTGACGTTTGTAGTTTTTTTTTATCAACAAACCGGCTGTATCCCACTGATGCAGAGTGACCTAAAAAGAAAAATTAAAGTTTTTCTCTTTAAATTTAGTAATAAATTTGTAGGTACTGTACTGTATTTATGAATTGTAATATTACATTCCAGTAGATTTGGAGATGTCTCTTGTCTCACCTTCTCACTGGAGGCTCTGTATATAGTTCTGTACTGCAGGGTTTTTTAGTTCTCTTGTAGTTTCTTACTGGGTGGAAGTAATGGCCCTGTGAATAAAATCCTTTGTCTTGCTAAGCTGCTTCATATTACTTGCATTCTAGGCTCTTCGAGGTCATGATAGAAAACTGTCTCAGGCGAGGACAAGCTGGCAACAAGAAGGAAATCACAATTTGGACAATGAAGAAATGGTTATTAAACAGAGGCTTAAGTAAGTTGCAAATTCATTTGTCCTTTTAATGTCATAGAAGTTACCTTTTTCCACCGTTTTAATTTTTGATGCATCCAGAAATAATTGATAAGATACACCATAATCTCTCTATCAGGATTTTTAGGTTTATCACTTTTGTAAATTAATGGCATATGAACAGCCAGCAAAACATTAAATAATAGGATTACTTTGTCTATGGTTTTTTGATTCATCATTAGTTGACTTCTGCTCATATTTCATTTTACTGATATATGCTAATCCTGGAGTTCTTGCCTTATTTTAACCCTTCACCTCTAGTTAAACAAAAGAGATCTTGAATCACATTTAAATATATTAATGAAATCAGCGCTTGGAAATATTTACGTTATCTAATGAACACATGATAAGAATAAGTACAGCTCACCTAGCAACATTGTAATGTACATATTCTAATTGCAGTGCTATGTGGGAATCTCACGAAACTGCTCTCTTGTGTCAGCTCCTTGATTCTGGTGGTCTGTCATCATCCTGGGCAGAAGTAATCCTTCCCATTGTTCACACCGTCACAGACATTATCCGTCCAGATGTCAAGAACGATAGTGATGACATGGATATACGCCAGTGAGTATGTCTTCTTTCTAGTGGTGATGGTATGGATTTGTCTTTTCTAACCAACATATCTCTGTTAAAGTTTTTGTCCTATTAATTTTTTGTTCTGATACATTGGCATCCAAATGAGAGCTTGATAAAGCTTATTGTTTTGAATTCAAGCTAACTGTACCATATTGACAATGTGACAGTATAATAGTTCAGTGTCTTGAGCTGGACATTTTTGCAGGAAAAATGGTACATATTCCATAGTACTATACCAAGTAATATGGGTAGTAATCTCAGCTGAAATTACTTACCTAGATTTTTTTGCAGAAGCTTATTTTTGTGTGATATACTTTTTTGAGTTTGGAAGGGTGATGTTGAGCTTCTGGTCCCTCATTACTTTTAGCCACCTGGCATGAAATAGCTGTATCAAATGTATCATCTGTATGGAATCTACTTCCACTGTATCATTATTGAGTTCATTACACTTTTCACTACTCTTATGTTGAAGAACTGTGTATATTAGTGTCAGCAACTGGTCACTACTAGTTGCTCATTACCTGTTCAGTTACAGCGCTGCACATTGTTTTGGGCCTCTGTCTTGTGCATGTGTAGTACCCCCATGTGTGCTGCCTGCAGCATAATGGCAGTCTCATTATCAAGGGTTGAGGCTGGCATCAGGTCATGAGGTGTGACTGCTCCGGTGTTGCTTGTGTCAAGTAAACTGTGTTATTGGGTAGTATATACTTGTGGTCAAATGAGAAGCTAATTTTTCTTTTGTCATCAGAAGATTTTCATATCATTTCATTATGTAAATAGCTATTCTTGAATAATTATTTCATAAGTTTACACTATAGTAATTAATAATTATACAATCAGCCTCTAGTGTTTTTTCAGTTACCCCTTTTAAGTGCAAAAACCAATCTTAGTAACAAGGTTGGTATTGATGAAAGTTTAAATATTATTATTTAGAATTACTATGATAATTTTAAATGTTTCTCTTTCAGATACGTGCAGTTTAAGAAAGTTCCAGGAGGCAGTCGGAGTGAATCTGAAATACTGAATGGAGCAGTGTGTACAAAGAATGTTGCAGACAAATCCATGGCTGTACGACTTACAGACCCACAGATTCTATTGGTTGCCTCTACTATAGATTACCAACGAGGAAATGACAATAAGCTCTTGGCACTTGACAATCTTTTACTACAAGTAAATATACTGTATATTGATGCTATTGCTCAGGAAATCTGTAGTTTTATTATAATATTTTTGTTAATTAATTTATAATTAGTTGAACAATAATTATTTCACTGTTTTTTAGCAGATATTTGAGCCATGCATTAAACATGTTTGTAGACAAACATCTGATTTGTTTGATCATTATTGGTGATAGCTAAAGTAAGTGTAAATGGAGTACAAGGAGTAATGAGAGGAGTGGGTATATAAGAAGGCAGTGTTAAGGTTTATTAATGAGTGTGAGAGAGGTAACTTGAGCAGTAAGGAAGTTAAAAGTAGAGAAAGCAAAAGTGCATGGGCTTATGGCTGTAATGATTACAGTAGGTGGGAATAAAGTGTTGGAATGGTTAGTGTAATTGTTTAATATGTATTAAAGATGAAAGGTGTCTAAAGACTAGGTTAACTCTTTGAGGGTTTCGGCCATACTAGTACAGCTTACGACCCAGGGTTTTTGACGTACTAGTACGCCTAAATTCTAGCGCCCTCAAATCTAGTGGGAGAAAGCTGGTAGGCCTACATATGAAAGAATGGGTCTATGTGGTCAGTGTGCACAGTATAAAAAAAATCCTGCAGCACACAGTGCATAATGAGAAAAAAAAAACTTTGACCGTTTTTCTTGGAATGAAACAGCGACTTTGCACTGTATTTTCGTATGGTATTTATTGTTGTATTCTAGTTTTTTGGTCTTATTTTATAGAATGGAAGACATATTACAGAAATTGAGATGATTTTGACTGGTTTTACAATGAGAAGTACCTTGAAATTGAGCTCAAAGTAGCAGAAGTGTTTGATTTTTACCAAAGTTCAAAAGTAAACAAATCATGCCAAGCATCCAATACACGTCAACTAGTGAGTCTAATATTCTTTTGCAAGTGCGCCAATATTATTTATACCATTTTTTACACTAATGCAGTAGTCTGCATAACAGTAAATCTTCTATTTTTTGTGAGAATGAAAATTCAAAGTGGAAAGCAAAAGAATATAAGAGGGGCCTTGAGACGTGACTAATGAACAGAGGAAATGTCATTTTAGTGCCAGGAATGTCTTTCTTGTTTATTCTGGACCCTATTCAGAAATTGGCATCTTTTGAAATTTGTGTGAAATTGGCAAAATTGCTAAATTCTGACCACTGTACTGGATAGTTGAAATTGATAAATGGGTGGTTTCTTGCACTCATTCGATAGAAAATATGGAGTTCTAGCGAAATATTCATGTTTTTTGTCGACTAGTGCAGTGGAATTGGCCGAAAATGGTGCTCAAAGTGGGCAAAATCGCCGATGCGTAAACATCGCCTAGACTGCTAACTTTGCGAGAGCATAATTCCATAAGTTTTGTATCAAATTTCAAACTTTTGGTGTCATTATGACCAGGAAAAGATTCTCTATCTTTTCATAAGAGAAAATTACTATTTTTTTTTAAAATTTGTCCGACCCTGAGAACGAGTCTCGGAGAGGGCCTGTCGGCCCTCAAAGGGTTAAAGGATTTGTGGTTTCTTTATACAGTAGTTAGACAAGGCGAGTATAAGAGAAAAAAAAATGTTGCATTTAATTTTTTTAACCCTTTCAGGGTCCAAGGCCCAAATCTGGAGTCACGCACCAGTGTCCAAGAATTTTCAAAAAAAAAATTTGTTATTTTTTCTTATGAAATCGTAGAGAATCTTTTTGTGAAGGTAATAAAACAAAAAGTACGAAATTTGGTGTAAAATTGACGAAATTATGCTCTCGCGAATTTTGATGTGTCAGCGATATTTACGAATCGGCGATTTTGCCGACTTTGACTCCCATTTTAGGCCAATTACATTATTCCAATCAACCAAATTCTTAGCTATTTCACTAGTATTACTTCTATTCTATCGATTGAGCACAAGAAATCGCCAAGTCAACTGTTTCAACTACAAAATAAAGTGATCGGAAATTGTTAATTTGGCCAATTTAACACAAAGTTCAAAATATTCCAATTTCAAAATAGGGTCCAGAATGAACAATGTAGGCATTCCTGGCACTAAACTAACATTTCCTCTGTTCATTAGTTATGTTTTGAGGCTTTACAAATAAATTCCATTTTGATTTTTTATTCACATAATGAATTTTTATTCACACCAAAAAATAGAAGATTTACTGTTATGCAATACTGGAATAATTGTATAAATATCATCACCATATTTGTGAATGTATATTAGACCCATCAGCTGACGTGTATTAGACGTGTGAGGTCGTTTGTTTACTCTTGAATATCGGCAAAAATTTAACATTTCTGCTACTTTGAGCTCAGTTTCAAGCCATTTCCAGTGCTAAAACCAATCAAAATCATCTCTATTTCTGTAATATGTCTTCCATTCTATCAAATGAGACCAAGAAGTCGCAAATACAACTATAAAAAACATACGAAAAAACACTGCAAAGTTGCTGTTTTAATCGAAAAATCATGATTTCATTTTTTTTCTCTCATTATACACAGTGTGCTGCAGGATCTGTTTTATGTGGTGCACACATACCACATAGATGTATTCTCTCATATCTAGGCCCAAATGTACCACTCACAGTTTATCAGAGTGAGCTGAGCTCATGGCGTAGATCTACGGTTTGGACCCTGAACGTAAAGCCGTAGATCTACGGGACGGACCCTGAAAGGGTTAAAGAGTCTATAGACTGGGTACATAGGGAAGTAATGAGGTTTTTTGCAAATGTATGAAAGTTGTTCTCTATGGGGAAATGGAACAGAATTCTTCCTCCGTGAGCCATGTGTGTCATAAGAGGTGACTAAAATGCCGTGAGCAAGGGGGGCTAGTAACTCTTCTGTATACATTACTAAGTTTATGTTGAGAAAGTTATGTTTTTATTTTTGAGCCGTCCTACTTCGGTGGGATACGGTCAATGCATTGAAAGAAAGAAAGAAAGAAAGAAAGATGAAAATTGTTGAAAGGTTCTAATAGGTTTAGGAAAAGAGTGAAGCTTGGGTCAAGGTATGTAGAGGCAGATATTTTCTGATGTCCAAGGAGGGATATAATTTTAACAATTAATGTCAGAGAATAGAGTACACAGTTTCAAAGCAAGAAGTGTATAAACTATATTTTAATTTACAGGAAGCAGACTATCTCAAGAATGTTGTGGCAAAAATTGTCTCTTACAAGCCTGATATTATCTTGGTTGAAAAGAGCGTAGCATTTTTAGCACGAGAATATCTACAGGTAAGATTGCTTAATTATGATGAGACTTATATTTTAACTACTGTATATATAGTCATAGTTAAGTTTCTGGGTCTATCCAGACTGAAAAAAAAAAAAGTTTTTGGGGCCTCGGCCCTTCCCACACAGTGGGAGTTGCTACAGTTGCGTTTTGCTGGTGACATAGTACTTTTGGGAATTTTCAAAGTTGAAAAGGTTGGGGGAAATTTGGAAGGGTATGAAAAAGAAGGAAAAAAAAGGGGAAATGGGAAAGAGCATTCACTAAGCCAATCACTGTTGATAAAGCAGAAAGCCTAGTAGGAGTATCCTTAAGACAATTTGGGGCAAAAAGTTTCATAAACCCAAATGCTTAGGCAAAGCAGAACAAACCCTTATTAAAACAATTAAATAAATTATTTCATATTTTTGGGTAGGGGTTGGTAACAGAAACCCCACCCAGGGAGGTATACCGCCTCCCAAGTGGGTAAAACGAAGCCGTGATTGTTTTCATGGGGTAGGTTTTGCTGATGTCTTTTGTTGTCCATAAAATGAAAATTTACAGGCATTCTTGCTACTTCTACTTCACTTGGGTCACACACCATACTTTTAAAACATTTATTTATACACCCCCATCTGAGTTTTCTTGATTTTATTTTAATAGTTTTTGGTCTTATAATTTTCCTTTTTTTTCCATGGGAAGTGGAATAAGAATCTTTCCCCCGTAAGCCATGCTGTTTGAAAAAGAACAAAATGCGGGAACAAGGGGCTAGTAACCCTTTTCCTGAAAAGTTATAAAAAGAATAAGAAGAAAAAAAAATTGTAAAAAGTGGGAAGTTGAATGTGCGGGGAAATTTTGGTGAAAAAGAGATTTTGGGGTGTTATGATGAGAAAAAGCGGAGCCGGGTTTTAAGTGAAACAAACGAAGGGGGGGGAGATTTCATTTAGGGGAATAAATGGGATTAGGTCAGGGGTTTAAAATAGAGTTAGAGAAAAAAGGAGTAGCAATAATGTTAAGGTAAGTATGGCGGGAAAAGAGGGACTAAAAATGTATTAATTAAGGATTTGGGAGTAAAAAAAGATTGGTGTGAAAAGTGGGTTATAATAGCGGTATGCACCTGGAGAAAAAAGAAGTGTAGAGGAAGAGAAATTTTGGGAAATTTGAGTGAATGCGTGGGGAGTTTTTGAATCAAAGTGTGAGATTGGGGGTTGGGGATTTTAATGCTAAAGTGGGTAAAAAAATTATGGAGGGGATAGGTAAATTTGGGGTGCCCGGGGTAAATGTAAATGGGGAGCCTTTAATTGAGCTAGTGTAGAAAAAAATTTGGTAATAAGTAATACATATTTTTTGAAAAAAGAAAATAAAAAAACAAGGTAGATGTAGCACGTAATGAAAATGTTTTATTAATTATTATTTGGGGGATAAAAGGTTTATGGGGAGGGCCCCGGATGACTGTTTTTAAAAGGGGCAACGATATATCGGGTCATTATTTGTTGTAGTTTCAGTTAAGGGAAGAGGAGATGGGAAAACGGAAGGTGGGAACAACAAGTAAGAGGGAGGTGAAAGTGATAACTAAGGGAGGAGGAAGTTCGGGTGAATTAAACGATATTGGGAGAAAGGTGGGCTAGTGCAAAGAGAGTATGGGGGGGTTTTAAGAGGGTTGGAATTTTTAAAAAAGCAGTATAGAATTGGGGCAGAAGTTTGTGGTTATGGAGGGTGGGGGGAGGGGGAAAGAGGAGTGTTGGTGGAAGGAAGTAAAGGGGGTGATAAAAGAGAAAAAGGTGTTATAGGGTTTTACAAAACAGAATGTTATAAGAAGAGCAGAGTATATGGGAGTAAAAGAAAAGGGAAAGAGGTGGTGAGGAGTGAAAAGGAGAGGAGATGAAAGAGTGGGGGAGGCACGTCAAGAAATTTTTAATGAAAAATAAGAAAAATTTTGGGGGTGAGTTAAACAAATTAAGAAACCAGGGAAAAAAAATTTGGGTTTTTCATTAAAAACAGAGTAGGGGATTTTAGTGGGGAATGGAGGGATTGGGTAGGGGAGAATATTTTGAGGAATTTTAAATGTTAAGGAAAAAACAGGGCGTAAATTTTTATGCATGGCAGGGAGGTATACCCTCTTTGGAGGGAAGAGCAAAAGTAAGTGTGGGGAGGTACGTGAGGCATTACGAAAAAATTAAAAAAAAAAAAAAAATAATAAAAATAAAAAAAAAAAAAAAGAAAGGGGGGGAAAGGTTGGAGTGGTTGGTACTTTTGTTTAATAAAGTATGAAAGAGGGGGAAGGGACCTAGGGTTGGCAAGAGCTGTATAGTCCCTTTATAAAAGGGAAAGGGGCAAAAAAGGGCTGTAAAATTATAGAGGGAAAAATTATGAGTTACCGGAAAAGTTACGGTAGGGGTTTTAAAATTTAAAAATTAAGGGTAAGACAGATGTAAGAATTTCGGATAGCAAGGGGGTTTTTTGATGGGGGAGGGGATGTGTAGTCAGGTGTTTACATTGAACATATTGTGAAAAGTATTTAATAAAGAAGGGGGAAATTTTTATTGCATTTATGGATTTAGAAAAGGCATATGATAGAGTGGATAGAGGAGCAATGTGGCAGATGTTGCAAGTATATGGAATAGGTGGTAAGTTATTAAATGCTGTAAAGAGTTTTTTTATGAGGATAGTGAGGCTCAGGTTAGGGTGTGTAGAAGAGAGGGAGACTACTTCCCGGTAAAAGTAGGTCTTAGACAGGGATGTGTAATGTCACCATGGTTGTTAATATATTTATAGATGGGGTTGTAAAGGAAGTAAATGCTAGGGTGTTTGGGAGAGGGGTGGGATTAAATTATGGGGAATCAAATTCAAAATGGGAATTGACACAGTTACTTTTTGCTGATGATACTGTGCTTATGGGAGATTCTAAAGAAAAATTGCAAAGGTTAGTGGATGAGTTTGGGAATGTGTGTAAAGGTAGAAAGTTGAAAGTGAACATAGAAAAGAGTAAGGTGATGAGGGTGTCAAATGATTTAGATAAAGAAAAATTGGATATCAAATTGGGGAGGAGGAGTATGGAAGAAGTGAATGTTTTCAGATACTTGGGAGTTGACGTGTCGGCGGATGGAAATTTTTGAAGGATGAGGTTAATCATAGAATTGATGAGGGAAAAAAGGTGAGTGGTGCGTTGAGGTATATGTGGAGTCAAAAAACGTTATCTATGGAGGCAAAGAAGGGAATGTATGAAAGTATAGTAGTACCAACACTCTTATATGGGTGTGAAGCTTGGGTGGTAAATGCAGCAGCGAGGAGACGGTTGGAGGCAGCGGAGATGTCCTGTTTAAGGGCAATGTGTGGTGTAAATATTATGCAGAAAATTCGGAGTGTGGAAATTAGGAGAAGTGTGGAGTTAATAAAAGTATTAGTCAGAGGGCAGAAGAGGGGTTGTTGAGGTGGTTTGGTCATTTAGAGAGAATGGATCACAGTAGAATGACATGGAAAGCATATAAATCTATAGGGGAAGGCAGGCGGGGTAGGGTCGTCCTCGAAAGGGTTGGAGAGAGGGGGTAAGGAGGTTTTGTGGTAAGGGGCTTGGACTTCCAGCAAGCGTGCGTGAGCGTGTTAGATAGGAGTGAATGGAGACGAATGGTACTTGGGACCTGACGATCTGTTGGAGTGTGAGCAGGGTAATATTTAGTGAAGGGATTCAGGGAAACCGGTTATTTTCATATAGTCGGACTTGAGTCCTGGAAATGGGAAGTACAATGCCTGCACTTTAAAGGAGGGGTTTGGGATATTGGCAGTTTGGAGGGATATGTTGTGTATCTTTATATGTTTATGCTTCTAGACTGTTGTATTCTGAGCACCTCTGCAAAAACAGTGATAATGTGCGAGTGTGGTGAAAGTGTTGAATGATGATGAAAGTATTTTCTTTTTGGGGATTTTCTTTCTTTTTTGGGTCACCCTGCCTCGGTGGGAGACGGCCGACTTGTTGAAAAAAAAAAAAAAAAAAAAAAAAAAAAAATTTCATTCTTTTGTATTTATTCATATTTAATATATCTGATTACACAGCTTAGTATAATTGAGCAGGTATAGCAATTTGCTCTACTAATGAAATGTGTTTTCTTATAAGACAGAAATGTCAGATGGTCCTGCTACTGTTTATTAGCTATACAGTAAGTTTAATATATAATGGAAAGCTTAAATTAGACAACAGAGCCTGAGCCTTATTAGCCTATAGGCTAATTTGGCCCTTTTTTCTGAAGTGTATCTCAGATTTTTTAACATGTTGGCCGTCTCCTACCGAGGCAGGGTGACCCAAAAAGAAAGAAAATCCCCCCCAAAAAATACTTTCATCATCATTTAACTCTTTCACCTCACTCACATATAATCACTGTTTTTGCAGAGGTGCTCAGAACACAACAGCTTAGAAGCATATATGTATAAAGATACACAACATATCCCTCCAAACTGTCAATATCCCAAACCCCTCCTTTAGAGTGCAGGCATTGTACTTCCCATTTCCAGGACTCAAGTCCGGCTATATAAAAATAACCGGTTTCCCTGAATCCCTTCACTAAATATTACCCTGCTCACACTCCAACAGATCGTCAGGTCCCAAATACCATTCGTCTCCATTGACTCCTATCGAACACGCTCACGCATGCCTGATGGAAGTCCAAGCCCCTCGCTCACAAAACCTCCCTTACCCCTTCCTTCCAACCTTTTCGAGGATGACCCCTACCCCGCCTTCCTTCCCCTACAGATTTAAATGCTCCCCATTTCATTCTACTTTGATCCATTCTCTCTAAATGACCAAACCACCTCAACAACCCCTCTTCAGCCCTCTGACTAATACTTTTATTAACTCCACACCTTCCGAATATCCACACTCCGAATTTTCTGCATAATATTTACACCACACATTGCCCTTAGACAACACATCTCCACTGCCTCGAACCGCCTCCTCGCTTCTGCATTCACAACTCAAGCTTAACACCCATATAAGAGTGTTGGTACTACTATACTTTCATACATTCCCTTCTTTGCCTCCATAGATAATGTTTTTTGTCTCCACATATACCTCAACGCACCACTCGCATTTTTTCCCTCATCAATTCTATGATTAACCTCATCCTTCATAAATCCATCCGCCGACACGTCAACTCCCAAGTATCTGAAAACATTCACTTCCATATTCCTCCTCCCCAATTTGATATCCAATTTTTCTTTATCTAAATCATTTGATACCCTCATCACCTTACTCTTTTCTATATTCACTTTCAACTTTATACCTTTACAGTAATTTCTGCTTTACTTCTTATGTGTGACAGTTTCATCCAAGTTTCACTTTATTCTCATTATATTTGTCCCAAATCTTTGACAGCTAATGTACCTTTGTAATTTTTGAGATGATTCACTGTTCTTTCTCCTTTCTTTCAACAAAACCGACTGCATCCCACTGAGGCAGGGTGGCTACCCCCCCAAAAAACAGTCTTTCTCTTTTAACTTCAGTAGTGCATACAGGAGAAGGGGTTACTAGCCCCTTACTCCTGGCATTTTAGTTGCCTCTTACAACATGCATGGCTTACGGAGGAAGAATTCTGTTCTCCTTCCCCATGGAGATGAGAGGAAATAAACAAGAAGAACTAGTAAGAAAGACAAAAAACCAGAGGGGGTGTATGTATATGCTTGTACATGTATGTGTAGTGTGACCTAAGTGTAAGTAGAAGTAGCAAGACTTGCCTGAAATCTTGCGTGTTCTTTCTTACTTTCTTTCAACACACCGGCCGTATCCTACCGAGGCGGGGTGGCCTAAAAGGAAAAACGAAAGTTTCTCCGTTTACATTTAGTAATATATACAGGAGAAGGGGTTACTAGCCCCTTGCTCCTGGCATTTTAGTCGCCTCTTACATCACGCATGGCTTTACGGAGGAAGAATTCTGTTCCACTTCCCCATGGAGATAAGAGGAAATAGACAAGAACAAGAACTAGAAAGAAAATAGAAGAAAACCCAGAGGGGTATGTATATATATGCTTGTACATGTATGTGTAGTGTGACCTAAGTGTAAGTAGAAGTAGCAAGACGTACCTGAAATCTTGCATGTTTGTGAAACAGAAAAAAGGACACCAACAATCCTACCATCATGTAAAATAATTACAGGTTTCTGTTTTACACTCACTTAGCAGGACGGTAGTATCTCCCTGGGCAGTTGCTGATGATTTACTGTAAATAAATTTTTGTTAACACTTTGGCCATTTCCCACTGAGGCAGGGTGACCCAAAAAGAAAGAAAAAAACTTTCATCATCATTCAACGCTTTCACCATCACTCATACATAACCACTGTCTTTGCAGAGATGCTCAGATATGACAGTTTAGACATCCCTCCAAACTGCTAATATCCTAAACCCTTTCTTTAAAGTGCAGGCCTTGTATACTTCCCATTTTCAGGACTCAGGTCTGGCTAACTAGTTTTCCTGAATCCCTTCACAAAATATTACCTTGCTCACACTCCAACAGTTCATCAGGTCCCAAAAAAACATTTGTCTCCATTCACTCCTATCTAACACGCTCGTATGCGCTTGCTGGAAGTCCAAGCCCCTGACACACAAAACCTCCTACCTCCAACCTTTCCTAGGCCAACCTCTACCCTACCTTCTCTCCACCGTAGATTTATACACTCTCAAAGTCATTCTATTTTGTTCCATCCTCTCTACATGTCTGAACCACTCAGCAATCCCTCCTCAGCCCTCTGGATAATAGTTTTGGTAATCCTGCACCTCCTCCTAATTTCCAAACTACGAATTCTCTGCATTTTATTCACACCACACATTGCCCTCAGACACGACATCTCCACTCCCTCCAGCCTTCTCCTTGTTGCAACATTCACCACCCATGTTTCACACCCATGTAAGAGTGTTGATATAACTATACTCTCATACATTTCCGTCTTAGCTTCCACAGACTTCTCAGTGCACCACTCACCTTTTTCCTTTCATCACTTTTATGATTCACCTCATTTTTCATAGACCCATCTGCTGACATGTCCACTCCTAAATATCTGAATACAGTCACCTCCTCTTTGCTCTCTTCCCTCTAGTCTGATATCCAATCTTTCGTTACCTATTTTTTTTTTGTTGTTGTCTTCATCACCTAACTCTTTCCTGTATTCACTTTTAGTTTTTTTCTTTTACGTACTCTAACCAAACTCATCCACCAACCTCTGCAACTTTTCTTCAGAATCTCTCAAAAGCACAGTGTCATCAGCAAAGAGCAACTGTGACAACTCCCACTTTGTGTTAGATTCTTTGTATATTAATAATTACAATATTCTACAGGCTCATGGTATCACACTCGTCATGAATGTGAAGCCATCAGTAATGGAGCGAGTTGCAAGATGTACGCAAGCAGAATTGGTGTCCTCTATTGATGCCCAGTTAACCAGGCCCACATTAGGAATGTGTCACAATTTTTATGTGAGGTCCTTTTCTTTTCAAGGGAAAAATAAGTTAAAAACTTTAATGTTCTTCGATGGCTGTGCTACTCATTTGGGGTGTACTGTGATTCTTCGGGGTGCCACAAATGCAGAACTGAAGCGGGTGAAGAAAATTATGTATTTTATGATATATGCAGTGTACAACTGGAAACTAGAAAGGTCATTCTTAATAGACGAATTCATTTTAATACCTCCACTCCCCTCTGAAAGTTTTGATCTAGAGGACCAAGTATTTGAAGATGAGCATCCTCAAAATGGGAAAACTGAAAACCTTGATCCAGATGAAATCTCAGGAAAGGATTCTAATGAAAGTGAAGGTAAAGGTAAAGGTGACCTTGAAGCTAGTAGTGACTCGGGAATTTTAACTCAAAGCTTGGAAAATAACAGGAGTCAGTTTTTTAAGGAGTGTTTGGAAAAGGAGTCTCTATGCTCCTCAGGGGAAACATGTGTGCCAGTGGTTGGGACTTCAGACAAGGCTAAGTTGTCTCGAACGATCAGTGATTTCAGTGATCCATTACACTCGTATCTTAATTTGGGTGTATCTCCTCAAGAAGGCCCTCTCGAGTCTTCCCATCACTCCTTCTCAGTTGCTGAATTACCATTTTCTAATAGTTTCAGAAAAGCATTGGAGGAGACAATTTTTTCATGTTCTCCTTATCTAAAGTACAGTGTTCCTTATCTTGAATCAGAAGCCGGAAGAAACTGCTTATTACGGAAATATTTCCAGAAGAATTTGTATTTTTCGGTACAGTTAGAAAAGGACAACTTTATGCGCCGCCCACGCTTTTCAGAGATGGATGCCAAAGAACTGAAGGATGAAAATCAGAATGTAGAAATTAGATCTCCACATGAATTCATTGAGATGAAACTAACCAAAGAAGTTACTGATAAAGATATCAGAGCAGTTTTAGCAGACTTTCGAGCACGAGGTGGGCAGATGAGAAATACATGCAGATGTGAGGGATCTTTCACAGAACCAAAAGACCAGAAACACCTACATGCTTCTTCATCATTGGAAAAATCAGAATCTCATGGACAAGTGATTGTTGAGGGACTGTCCATTGATGGTACAGGTGAGCCTCTATATTAAATTTGCAATTACTATTTTATAATATATGTGAAATAGATGTGTTGAATATATTATATATTGAGTTTTACCTGGAGACCTGGAGTTTACCTGGAGAGAGTTCCGGGGGTCAACGCCCCCGCGGCCCGGTCTGAGACCAGGCCTCCTGGTGGATCAGGAGCCTGAGTATAGATATTTTTAAATTCGGGGATTTATTTTTTAGTTTCTTGTAAATAGCTCTTGCATTTATATTATGCCCACCTTTTTCCACTTGTTTAGCAGTAGGTTCACAGAAATTAAAATAATTTTTAATGAAATTAAATAAGGGAGATCCTTGCATTTTTCCTTTTTTTTTTTTTTAATTTTTTCTCTTCTGAAGAAACTCTAACAATTATGAAAAGCTTTCGCCCTCTGTCTTTCCATTTCTGAAGGGCATTTTGTATGTTCTGGTGTCTCTTGTTAATATTTTTTCAAATTGAAACAGGATTTGGTAATTTTTACATGGTCAGATAATTTTTTTCGTGAAAGTTAATACTGTATTGCTGATGTGCAATTTTTCTTGCTTTTCTCTGATATTTCAGGATCCACATCCAGTATAAATGCTAGTAACCACAATAATAACAAACAAAATATTAATAATTTTTGGAGTGGGCAGAGTGGGTTGATGCTTACCTCTGATGGACGTGTTGATGCTCTTCACCCCTTCAATCACCAGCGATTATCTCTTCTTTTTTCAAGCTATTCCCAGTCGCTTGAGTCGCCTCCTGCTTTCTGTGTTAATCCTTGGTGAGTCATAGCTTTTTGGAACTTGGGCATCGAATGATAAAGTGTACAAATTTAAGTTATTTTTACTGAATCAAAGATTTTGTAACCATGGAGTGTTGGGGGACTTCTGATAGATTAAGCAGAGATTATTATCGACTAATTCTATTTTTATTAGTTGCCCGACCCTTTTATCACTATAACTGAAAAAAGCATTCAAAGAATTGTTGAATTATTAGGTAGATATTTCTTTGACAAATTATAATGAGTAGCTCTCATTCATATTCAGATACTGAATGAACATTTTTTTCTTTTCAGGGTTTTAACAATGGATTTTTATGGCAGGAATGATATCCCTCTTGGAGCCTTCCTAGAACGCTACTGTTTTAGCCCTACGTATACCTGCCCATCTAGTCATTGTTCTGTGGCAGTGGTAGATCATATCAGAAAGTTTGTTCATGATACTGGTTGTGTGGATGTTCTGCTGAGACGCCTTGATACTGTCCTAGATGACTCTAACTCAGGATCGATACTAATGTGGAGCTGGTGTAAAGTTTGTCGTCAGGTAAGAAAGGATTTAGTGTAATCTAACATAATCAGAACATAATTCCTCTACATTTCTCTACAATACAGAAATAATCCGCTTATAGGAGAAAGACGCTTATGACGACATTTTGGTCTGACTTGGACCATTAACTAGTCACACTAACACATGAAGGTAAGGGAGTCAGTATGTATATTAATGTATGTAAGTAGAACATTTATTCTAATTTACTAAAATGTATCCTGTTGGTAATTCATATTTTTTTTTTTCTCAACAAACCGGCCATATCCCACCAAAAGGAAAAAACGAAAGTTTTTCTTTTTAAATTTAGTAATTTGTACAGGAGAAGGGGATACTAGCCCTCTGCTCCCGAATTCAGAATTTTGTTGAAATTTTTTTCCGTTAACTGTACGGATATTTGTAATTTCTTAAATGAGAGCAATTGTAAATATCATTTCTGAGGCAGTATAAAGACCTTAGTATTTCATAGCAGTAATAATATATGGTGCTTTGTATGCATTAGCTGTTACTAGAGCCTAGATTTTTGAAAAAGTTGGATCTGCACTCACCATCTTTTCCTGATGGGGCTTTCTGGAAATTCCTGTGAATGTAATCAATATTAAATTTGCTCAGCATGGATAATAATAAAAAAATTATGAATCTCTCGTGACAGCTCTTCCTTTCTACCAACTTCCCAACCACAAGCCAGTGCACAGACCTTCTCCCATGCTTCATTTGAGCATTTTATGGGGCAGACTCAATGTTCATTTGGTGAATTCGATCATATTAATGAACAAGGATGCTTTCTTGTCAGTCAGGATCAAGGTTATATTACCTTTTGTGCAGGACTTTTGAGGCTTCAGTAACTGCTGTTAGACACTCATTATGCATACCCATCATTGACTTCAGTTCTGGAAAGGCCAACCAGCTTGGCCTTTCCAGAAATTCTTCTTAAAGTTTAATTATTTTTTTTTTTTTTATTAACACACCGGCCGATTCCCACCAAGGCAGGGTGGCCCGAGAAAGAAAAACTTTCACCATCATTCACTCCATCACTGTCTTGCCAGAAGGGTGCTTTACACTACAGTTTTTAAACTACAACATAAACACCCCTCCTTCAGAGTGCAGGCACTGTACTTCCCATCTCCAGGACTCAAGTCCGGCCTGCCGGTTTCCCTGAATCCCTTCATAAATGTTACCTTAAAGTTTCTCTAGCTCACTTCAAAGTGACTGCCTGCCTTCTTACAGGTTTGACATTTCCCTTACATTACTTGCAAATGTGACTCTGATTCATGCTTCCATGCCAATTTTACCCTATTTGCATGAGGTTTTGGAAGGAAGACTTCTCTGACGTTACTAGAGAAGACCAGTACAGTGGACCCTCAACCAATGATATTAATCCATTCCTGAGAGCTCATTGTTAGTCGAAATTATCATTAGTCGAGTTAGTTTTCCCCATAAGGAATAATGGAAATCAAATTAATCCGTTCCTGACACCCCAATGTATTGAAAAAAAAAAAATTTACCAGATGAAATATTGATTTTAATACACACAAACTGAAGAAGACATGTACATTTACACGACACTTACCTTTATTGAAGATCTGGTGATGATTGATGGGATGGGAGGAGGGGAGAGTGTGGATGGTGTTAGTGTTTAGAAGGGGAATCCCCTTCCATTAGGACTTGAGGTGTCAAGTCCTTTTCTGGGGTTACTTCCCTTCTTTTAATGCCACTAGGACCAGCTTGAGAGTCACTGGACCTCTGTCGCACAACACATCTGTCCATAGAGGCCTGTACCTCCCGTTCCTTTATGACATTCCTAAAGTGTTTCACAACATTGTCAGTAGTACAGGTCGCCAACACTGCTTGCAGTAGCTGTGTCAGGGTGATTTTCATCAAAAGAGGTTATCACGCTATGTATGCCACAATGATTCTTAAATCTCTCAAACCAACCTTTGCTGGCCTTAAATTCACTCGCATCACCACTAGTTGCAGGCATTTTTCTAATTAAATCGTCATGCAACTTCCTAGCCTTTTCACATATGATCGCTTAAGAGATGCTATCTCCTGCTATCTGTTTTTCGTTTATCCACACCAATAACAGTCTCTCAACATCTTCTATCACTTGTGATCTCAGTTTCGAAAACATAGTTGCACCTTTGGCAAGAACAGCTTCCTTGATTGCCGTTTTCTTGGCCACAATAGTAGCGATGGTTGATTGGGGTTTTGTGTACAACCTGGCCAGCTCGGAGACACCACTCCACTTTCATACTTAGCAATGATCTCTTTCTTCATATCCTTAGTAATTCTCACCCTTTTTGCTGTAGGGATGGCACTAGAAGCTTTCTTGGAGCCCATGGTGACTTACTTTGCAGGTACAATCACTAAAAACACTGTGATAATATGAAATATTCCGATTGTATGTTTGGATGGGACCACGGTGGCTGGCTGGCTTGTAAACACTGGCGCGCTCAGGCCACAAGTGGACGCATCTTGAACGGAACGAATCTCGTTGGTTGAGTTTTTTAGCGCTAGTCGAGGCAAAATTTTTGCGTCGGATTTAACGTTAGACAATGCCATCGTTGGTCGAGGGTCCACTGTATTCACTTTTAGGATCTTCTCGATTAATCAGTGTAGCTTTTTTTTTTATTTGTGAATTGTTGGTGAAAATGCTTGATATGATTATTAATATTCTCCCACCACACTGCTGCCAAACCACTCATACGTATATAAATATATATATCATCAACATCTTAGCATGATGCAGACCTACATAAATTTCTACATATTGTAAACCAATAGCTTTTGCACAGTCAATGTCTTAAAATTACTAAATGTTTGTCTTTTTTTGGGCCTTGAATTTACTTCTATAATTAAGGAATTTTTCCTACAATTCACCAACACAGTCAAGTTTGGTACTGTCAATAGCAAGGCTTTTAGAGCTTTTAGCTCCTTTTTCATATCTTATCAGAGTTTCTGTTACGAACTTCAGATGTTGACTTACTATCTGGGAAGACATATCCGTGTATAAAGTCCAAACTCCAAAAAGTTAGAATCCTTAGCGCCTTTCATGTAAACAAAACATAGGTTGATAAATTAGACACGTGCAACACTTGGGTATCTTTAATGACGAAACGTTTTGCCACACAGTGGCTTCATCAGTCCAAACAAAGGAGAATGTTGAAGAACAGGAGGAGTTTGAGGTAATCAGCCCCTCAGCCTTGATTTGATGTGGTCAGTCCATCAGTCTCAAGGCTGAGGGACTCATTATCTGAAACTCCTCCTGTTCTTCACCATTCTCCTTTGTTTGGACTGATGAAGCCACTGTGTGGCAAAACATTTCCTCGTTAAAGATACCCGAGTGTTCCATATGGGTCGAATTTATCAACTTGTCAGTTCTCTGGACCATTCATCTACAAAACATGGGTAGGCACAAAATGAGTGGTAAGCGACAGCATGGGGGCCAAAAACAATAAGTAGAGCAGTAAGCGGCTTCCATGTCCATCAAGTTAGTTTCACAGTGGCCAAGCCTTGGGTGGGCAGTTGACCAGCAGTTAGGAAATTAGGAAAACCCAAATGAGTTTAGAAATGAAAAACACTGGGAACCTGATCACATAAAGAAAACTTACTGTTTTTGAGTGTACACGCTGATGGTTCTTCGATGTGACCCAGTGCAATTTGCATGTTGTAATATCTTTGTTTTAGTAAGTTAATGTAATGATTTCCAAGTATCATTTTTGTTTTCACTTCAGGTTACCCCTGTGGTGCCTATGTCTTTAGAAACATGGTCACTGTCCTTCGCCAAATACCTGGAGCTGCGCTTCTATGGTGGCAATTTTACAAGACGTGGAACAGATGGATGCCCTCATTCTCTCCATCATGATCATTTTCAGTATTTTGGTTTTAAGAATCAAGTAGCAGTTTTCAAGTAAGTCTGATCAAATTGTTTTGATTATTTTTAGATCCTCATATTTGTTTCCAGTTTCTAAAGACAGGGAAGATAGGTCAAAATATTTCAGTTTTTAATGAATAGTCTTGTAACCTGTATCTTAATTTTTTTTTTAACTTTCTCTAAATACCTTGTATTAGTCCCTACAAAAAATTATGTAGTCTTCATACTATCTAAGTTTGCCCAAAATGCTGTGCATCCTATGGACTTTTCTAATTATTGTATAATTTCTACTGTAATATGAAATAAAAATATTGAATTTGAATCATTGATGGTGATGATGCTCTCTACTTTTTTTTTCTGCATTGGTACTCATCAATTAAGATTATGAAGTTAAAAGATAAGTACTTTTGAATTAACTTTAATATCAGAATAAGAATAAGAAGAAGAAAATTGTCAAAGTGGGAAGTCTGAATGTGCGTGGATGTTGTGCAAATGATAAGAAAGAGATGATTGTGGATGTTATGAATGAGAAGAAACTGGATGTCCTGGCTTTAAGTGAAACAAAGCTGAAGGAGGTGGGAGAGTTTCAATGGAGAGGAATAAATGGGATTAGGTCAGGGGTTTCAAATAGAGTTAGAGCTAAAGAAGGAGTAGCAATAATGTTGAAGGATAAGCTATGGCAGGAAAAGAGGGACTACAAATGTATAAATTCAAGGATTATGTGGAGTAAAATAAAGATTGGATGTGAAAAGTGGGTTATAGTAAGCATGTATGCACCTGGAGAAGAGAGAAGTGTAGAGGAGAGAGAGAGATTCTGGGAAATGTTGAGTGAATGCGTAGGGAGTTTTGAATCAAGTGTGAGAGTAATGGTGGTTGGGGATTTCAATGCTAAAGTGGGTAAAAATGTTATGGAGGGAGTAGTAGGTAAATTTGGGGTGCCAGGGGTAAATGTAAATGGGGAGCCTTTAATTGAGCTATGTGTAGAAAGAAATTTGGTAATAAGTAATACATATTTTATGAAAAAGAGGATAAATAAATATACAAGGTATGATGTAGCACGTAATGAAAGTAGTTTGTTAGATTATGTATTGGTGGATAAAAGGTTGATGGGTAGGCTCCAGGATGTACATGTTTATAGAGGGGCAACTGATATATCGGATCATTATTTAGTTGTAGCTACAGTTAGAGTAAGAGGTAGATGGGAAAAGATGAAGGTGGCAACAAGTAAGAGGGAGGTGAAAGTGTATAAACTAAGGGAGGAGGAAGTTCGGGCGAGATATAAGCGACTATTGGCAGAAAGGTGGGCTAGTGCAAAGATGAGTAGTGGGGGGGTAGAAGAGGGTTGGAATAGTTTTAAAAATGCAGTATTAGAATGTGGGGCAGAAGTTTGTGGTTATAGGAGGGTGGGGGCAGGAGGAAAGAGGAGTGATTGGTGGAATGATGAAGTAAAGGGTGTGATAAAAGAGAAAAAGGTAGCTTACGAGAGGTTTTTACAAAGCAGAAGAGCAGAGTATATGGAGAGTAAAAGAAAGGTGAAGAGAGTGGTGAGAGAGTGCAAAAGGAGAGCAGATGAAAGAGTGGGAGAGGCACTGTCAAGAAATTTTAATGAAAATAAGAAAAAATTTTGGAGTGAGTTAAACAAGTTAAGAAAGCCTAGGGAAAGTATGGATTTGTCAGTTAAAAACAGAGTAGGGGAGTTAGTAGATGGGGAGAGGGAGGTATTAGGTAGATGGCGAGAATATTTTGAGGAACTTTTAAATGTTGGGGAAGAAAGGGAGGCGGTAATTTCATGCACTGGCCAGGGAGGTATACCATCTTTTAGGAGTGAAGAAGAGCAGAATGTAAGTGTGGTGGAGGTACGTGAGGCATTACGTAGAATGAAAGGGGGTAAAGCAGCTGGAACTGATGGGATCATTACAGAAATGTTAAAAGCAGGGGGGATATAGTGTTGGAGTGGTTGGTACTTTTGTTTAATAAATGTATGAAAGAGGGGAAGGTACCTAGGGATTGGCGGAGAGCATGTATAGTCCCTTTATGTAAAGGGAAGGGGGACAAAAAAGATTGTAAAAATTATAGAGTAATAAGTTTACTGAGTATACCAGGAAAAGTATACGGTAGGATTATAATTGAAAGAATTAGAGGTAAGACAGAATGTAGGATTGCGGATGAGCAAGGAGGCTTCAGAGTGGGTAGGGGATGTGTAGATCAAGTGTTTACATTGAAGCATATATGTGAACAGTATTTAGATAAAGGTAGGGAAGTTTTTATTGCATTTATGGATTTAGAAAAGGCATATGATAGAGTGGATAGAGGAGCAATGTGGCAGATGTTGCAAGTATATGGAATAGGTGGTAAGTTACTAAATGCTGTAAAGAGCTTTTATGAGGATAGTGAGGCTCAGGTTAGAGTGTGTAGAAGAGAGGGAGAATACTTCCCGGTAAAAGTAGGTCTTAGACAGGGATGTGTAATGTCACCATGGTTGTTTAATATATTTATAGATGGGGTTGTAAAAGAAGTAAATGCTAGGGTGTTTGGGAGAGGGGGTGGATTAAATATGGGGAATCAAATTCAAAATGGGAATTGACACAGTTACTTTTTTCTGATGATACTGTGCTTATGGGAGATTCTAAAGAAAAATTACAAAGGTTAGTGGATGAGTTTGAGAATGTGTGTAAAGGTAGAAAGTTGAAAGTGAACATGAAAAGAGTAAGGTGATGAGGGTATCAAATGATTTAGATAAAGAAAAATTGGATATCAAATTGGGGAGGAGGAGTATGGAAGAAGTGAATGTTTTCAGATACTTGGGCGTTGACGTGTCGGCGGATGGATTTATGAAGGATTGAGGTTAATCATAGAATTGATGAGGGAAAAAAGGTGAGTGGTGCGTTGAGGTATATGTGGAGTCAAAAAATGTTATCTATGGAGGCAAAGAAGGGAATGTATGAAAGTATAGTAGTACCAACACTCTTATATGGATGTGAAGCTTGGGTGGTAAAATGCAGCAGTGAGGAGACGGTTGGAGGCAGTGGAGATGTCCTGTCTAAGGGCAATGTGTGGTGTAAATATTATGCGGGAAAATTCGGAGTTTGAAATTAGGAGAAGGTGTGGAGTTAATAAAAGCATTAAATCAGAGGGCAGAAGAGGGGTTGTTGAGGTGGTTTGGTCATTTAGAGAGAAGGGGATCAAAGTAGAATGACATGGAAAGCATATAAATCTATAGGGGAAGGAAGGAGGGGTAGGGGTTTGTCCTCGAAAGGGTTGGAAAGAGGGGGTAAAGGAGGTTTTGTGGGCAAGGGGCTTGGACTTCCAGCAAGCGTGCGTGAGCGTGTTAGATAGGAGTGAATGGAGATGAATGATACTTGGGACCTGACGATCTGTTGGAGTGTGAGCAGGGTAATTTTTAGTGAAGGGATTCAGGGAAACCGGTTTTTTTCATATAGTGGACTTGAGTCCTGTAAATGGGAAGTACATTTCCCGCCCCTTTTAAAGGAGGGTTGGGATATTGGCAGTTTGGAGGGATATGTTGTGTATCTTTATATGTGTATGCTTCTAAACTGTTGTATTCTGAGCACCTCTGCAAAAACAGTGATAATGTGCGAGTGTGGTGAAAGTGTTGAATGATGATGAAAGTATTTTCTTTTTGGGGATTTTCTTTCTTTTTTGGGTCACCCTGCCTCGGTGGGAGATGGCCGACTTGTTTAAAAAAAAAAAAAAATTTGAAAAGATATGCCATCAAATGCAGAATGACCCTAAATCTGAAAAAATGTGGACATAATTATATTTTATTCATGGATCAATACTTGTGAGACTTTTTGTGGAACCCTTTTGGATTTGGGTATCCGGCTATTTTTCACTGAACACTGAAAATAATTTTATTGTTTGAGAATATAAATTATCTTATTCTTTTCAGATATATTGGAATTACATTACGAGAAATTTTTCTTCCGCCATCTGAGATGAAACTGTGCATCCATCCAATTACTCAATCATCTGTTGTGGAACTCATCAAGGGTGTGGCCATACAGGTAGGAGAACTCATCAAGGGTGTGGCTATACAGGTAGAACTCATCAAGGGTGTGGCAATACAAGTAGAACTCATCAGAGGTGTGACTATACAGGTAGGAGAACTTATCAAGGATGTGGCTGTACAGGTTGGAGTGAAAAAACAAATCAGAAGAGGGATAACTTCTTTCAGCAAACCTGTTGTATCCCATCAAGGCGGGGTGGCGCAAAAGGAAAAATGAAAGTGTCTCCTATTAAATTTAGTAATATGTACAGGAGAAGGGGTTACTAGCCCCTTGCTCCCAAGAGGGATAACTACTAATAATTTCTTCTTTCAACAAACCATATCCCACCGAAGCAGGGTGGCCTAAAAAGAAAAGCAAAAGTAAGAGGGATAATTGTAGTAGCTAAATTATTTTTTTCAAATTCCTTTAACAATTGTATTTTTATTTGATGACATGAAAATGCCTCACTAGATCAAATTCAAACCTTCACTGCTGTTTCCCACCGAGGCAGGGTGATCCAAATAGAAAGAAAAACCTACTTTAACCATCATGACAGTTTAAAAGTCCCTCCCAACTTCCAATATCCCAAATCCCTCCTTTAAAGTGCAGGCATTGTACTTCCCATTTCCAGGACTCAAGTCTGGCTAACCAGTTTCCCTGAGTCCCTTCACAAAATATTACCCTGCTCACACTCCAACAGCTCATCAGGTCCCAAAAACTATTCGTCTCTATTCACTCCTGTCTAACACGTTCACGCACGCTTGCTGGAAGGCCAAGTCCCTCGCCCACAAAACCTCCTTAACCCCCTCCCTCCAACCTTTTTGAGGATGACCCCTACCACACGTTAATTCCCCTACAGATTTATACACTCTCCAAGTCATTCTCCTTTTTTCCATTCTCTCTGATTGACCAAACCACCTCAACAACCCCTCTTCAGCCCACTGACTAATACTTTTAGTAACTCCACACCTCCTCCTAATTTCCACACTATGAATTCTCTGCATAATATTTATGCCACACATTGCCCTTAGACAGGACATCTCCACTGCCTCCAGCCGCCTCCTCGCTGCAGCATTTACAACCCAAGCTTCACACCCGTATAAGATTGTTGGTACAACTATACTTTCATACATTCCCTTCTTTACTTCCATGGATAACGTTTTTTTTGTCTCCACAGATACCTCAACGCACCACTCGCTTTTTTTCCTTCATCAATTCTGTGGTTAACCTCATCCTTCATAAACCCATCCGCTGACAAATCAACTCCCAAATATTTGAAAACATTTACTTCTTCCATACTCCTCCCTCCACTGTGATACTGCTTTTATATCTTAGTAAATTGAAGGTTTATATTATTATCGGGGAAGATAGGTCCTTATTTGCCAATTTTAAACCAATTTATTGAGGGTATCCTACCGAGCCTTCTAGTGGAATAATGCTTTGGAGCTTCTCTATAATGGTGTAGTCCATAATGATATTCAGTGTGGAAAATGAGCCACTTTCAACAATGCTATACCTTATTTACAGGGTCATTTTCTGGGCCTGACCTATAAATTTAAAATGGCGCTTCCCTGTATATTGTTACATCAAGATCTAAAAATTTTGTGGTACAAATTTTTGCAGAATACAGCAAATTATTTTGTACATACAGTTAATCATAGTGATAAATTCTTGTCTCTGCTCATTGAGAGGAAGAAATCCCTTTTCCCAAACTCACTTTTCCTTCCCAATAGACATGGCTCCTAGCAGTGCTCCCTCCTTTTTCGTAGCCACACTTTCTTCACCCTAGTTATGCTTCATGTTGACAAACTCCAGCTTTTCAGTTCCATTCTTCCTTCACCATTATTCACTCCTAGTAGCACTTTACCCCTTTCCAAAGCCACCTGCCATTCAACACAATTGTATCTCGCCCCTTTTATAAGCACACCCTCTCTTCATCATAGATGTACCTCTCAACAGCGTTTGTTCCAAACCTGCCCTTCCTTCAAGTGCAGTTGAAAGAAGACGGGTTTGGATTATGTTACCAGATACAACTTTAAAGTTGTTTTAAATGCAGTACTGTCACTAATTTCTTTTTTGTTCATTTTTACTGCAGGGCTACTCAGTGTTCTCTACAATTTTTGAGCGTGTTACAACACTTTCTTCTGAGTGTGGAAGCCGCTGGGAGCCTCTCATTGTGGAAATCACCGAACATCAGAATAAACAGCGCCTGACATTCAGAGAAAAGATTGAAAGCATACAGGTGCATATTCTTTTATGTACTGCAATTGGATTTTGTTCATACATATGTTATTTGTAATCTAGTTTTGTGTGTATGCGTTCTTATTTCTATACTTGCTATTTGATTTATTTTATTTTTATTATCACACTGGCCGATTCCCACCGAGGCAGGGTGGCCCGAAAAAGAAAAACTTTCACCATCATTAATCCATCACTGTCTTGCCAGAAGGGTGCTTTACACTACAGTTTTTAAACTGCAACATTAACACCCCTCCTTCAGAGTGCAGGCACTGTACTTCCCATCTCCAGGACTCAAGTCCGGCCTGCCGGTTTCCCTGAACCCCTTCATAAATGTTACTTTGCTCACACTCCAACAGCACGTCAAGTATTAAAAACCATTTGTCTCCATTCACTCCTATCAAACACGCTCACGCATGCCTGCTGGAAGTCCAAGCCCCTCGCACACAAAACCTCCTTTACCCCCTCCCTCCAACCTTTCCTAGGCCGACCCCTACCCCGCCTTCCTTCCACTACAGACTGATACACTCTTGAAGTCATTCTGTTTCTCTCCATTCTCTCTACATGTCCGAACCACCTCAACAACCCTTCCTCAGCCCTCTGGACAACAGTTTTGGTAATCCCGCACCTCCTCCTAACTTCCAAACTACGAATTCTCTGCATTATATTCACACCACACATTGCCCTCAGACATGACATCTCCACTGCCTCCAGCCTTCTCCTCGCTGCAACATTCATCACCCATGCTTCACACCTATATAAGAGCGTTAGTAAAACTATACTCTCATACATTCCCCTCTTTGCCTCCAAGGACAAAGTTCTTCGTCTCCACAGACTCCTAAGTGCACCACTCACCCTTTTCCCTCATCAATTCTATGATTCACCTCATCTTTCATATAGACCCATCCGCTGACACGTCCACTCCCAAATATCTGAATCATTCACCTCCTCCATACTCTCTCCTCCAATCTGATATCCAATCTTTCATCACCTAATCTTTTTGTTATCCTCATAACCTTACTCTTTCTGTATTCACTTTTAATTTTCTTCTTTTCCATACCCTACAAATTCATTCCCAATCTCTGCAACTTCTCTTCAGAATCTCCCAAGAGCACAGTGTCATCAGCAAAGAGCAACTGTGACAACTCCCACTTATGTGTGATTCTTTATCTTTTAACTCCACGCCTCTTGCCAAGACCCTCGCATTTACTTCTCTTACAACCCATCTAAATACTTAACAACACGGTGACATCACACACCTGTTAAGGCTACTTTACTGGGAAATTAATTTCCCTCTTTCTAATACTCTAATGAGCCTCACTATCCTCGTAAAATCTTATGCTTCAGTAACTCTCCTACACCATACACTGCACTTGCCATTGCTCCCTATCCACCCTGTATACGCCTTTTCCAAATCCATAAATGCCAAAGACCTCTTTACCTTATCTAAATACTGTCATTAGTGTTACTGAAAACTAGTCACCACCCCTACCTTTCCTAAGTCTCTTGTTCATCTGCTATCTATTCTCCGTCTTACTCTTAATTCTTTCATAATAACTTACCTACACTTTACCAGGTATACTCAACAAACTCTTCTTCTTTCAACAACCAGCGTATCCCACGGGCGGGTGGCCAAAAGGAAAAACAAAAGTTTTCCTTTCACACTCAGTAATATTACAGGGAGGTTACTAGCCCCTATGCCCTGGCATTTAGTCGCCTCTTAAACACGCATAGCTTACGGAGGAGAATTCTGTTCCACTTCCCCATGGAGATAAGAGGAATTAAACAAGAACAAGATGCTAGTAAAATGAAGAAAACCAGAGGGGTTGTAGCTTATGCTTGTACTGTATTGTGTGTGTCCTAGTGTAAGCAGAAGTAGCAAGCGTCACTAGAAACCTGCTGTTATGAGACAGAAAAAACACCTGCAATTCCATCGTGTAAAACAATTACAGGCTTACGTTTTACACTCACTTGGCAGGACGGTAGTACCTCCCTGGGCGGTTGCTGTCTACCAACCTACTACCTAGGTACTCAACAAACTTATCCCCCTATAATTTTTGCACTCTCTTTGCCTTTATACAAAGGAACTATGCATGCTCTCTGCCAATCCCTAGGTACCTTACCTTCTTCCATACATTTATTAAATAATTGCACTAATTACTCCAAAACTATATCCCCACCTGCTTTTAACATTTCTATCTTTATCCCATCAATCCGGCTGCCTTACCCTCTTTCATTTTACCTACTGCCTCACGAACTTCCCCCACACTCACAACTGGCTCTTCCTCACTCTTACAAGATGTTATTCCTCCTTGCCCTATATTTGCTTTATTGTCATAATTTTTCCAAGTTTATATTAGTTATTTGGGGGATACTTGTACCTAGTAGACAGTTCTGATGAGGTATAGTGCAGCTCCCTTTGTGGTTGTACAGTATTTGTTAAAATAATAATTCCTGTAATTTTTTCTTTTGTTAACTTTCTCTCTCCAGAGATGTCTTCTTTATTGGACAGTCTTTGGTATGTCTCCATTATATGGATATCTACAATGTTAATACAAAAGCTGATGTTGAATAAATCATAACACTGTTGTTGGGAAAATAGGAAGAAATTTTTGATGAGTTTGGTCAATCCAAGAACTAAAACAATGTCATGAGTTTCTTTTCCTAATTATGGTCATTTATGAAAAACTGATATAGGTTAGTTAGGACAACTATCACTTTCATTCATTAGGGTAGTAAGTCTATAGTAAGTCTGTACAGTATAGGTTACAATTCTTCTTTCTTTCAACACACCGGCCGTATCCCACTGAGGCGGGGTGGCCCAAAAGGAAAAACAAAAGTTTCTCCTTTCAAATTTAGTAATATATACAGGAGAAAAGGTTACTAGCCCCTTGCTCCCGGCATTTTAGTCGCCTCTTACAACACGCATGGCTTACGGAGGAAGAATTCTGTTCCACTTCCCCATGGAGATAAGAGGAAATAAACAAGAACAAGAACTAGAAAGAAAATAGAAGAAAACCCAGAGGGGTATGTATATATATGCTTGTACATGTATGTGTAGTGTGACCTAAGTGTAAGTAGAAGTATCAAGACATACCTGAAATCTTGCATGTTTATGAGACAGAAGGACACTAGCAATCCTACCATCATGTAAAACAATTACAGGCTTTCGTTTTACACTCACTTGGCAGAACGGTAGGATTACAATTATAAATAATATTTAATCCCATTTGGAAATAAGAAAAGTAAGATATGTAAGTACTTAGCATATGAATTTTTCACAGAAACAGTTGTGAAAACCTGTTAACAGAAGTGAAAATACTCAGTATATTACTAGTACTGTCATATTGCTTAATGATGTATTTATGTCTTTTCCAGCTGCAGCTAACATCACCAACACTAGAAGCGCGGCGCCTTCATCCTCCCACACCTAACACTACTCATGAAGTTACTACAACAATGTTAGGCATCACAGATCAAGTTATTCTCATCAAGAGGCTCATTGCTCAAGTTGTCACTGACTGGAATGCCAAAGTTAGAATAAAAGCTCTTATAGATTTTGGCCAGAATTAACATTTTCATTAAATATATACTGTATCTGGCAGCATTTAAGACACTTTTTTTCATTTAACCAAGAGAAAAATTTAAAAATAATAATAAATAAGAGATATTCAGTAAATTTAGGGTGCATCCTACATGCCGGTGTATGTAGGACACACCCTAAATTTACTTTAGTGTAATAAATTATTCTTGTACAAAGAAAAATCCATAATCATTTATTAAGGTATTTTATTTGAGTGTCTTAAAATTATAGCTGATGAAAGTTTATAAATAGGTGTTTAAATAAGATAAGGGTATATTTATTAATACATATGGATGACACTAACAAATTGATAATGTAAAACTAGGCATGGTGGGAGCAAAGCTACAGCTGGATAGGAGGGCGGACATCATACTGAAAAGAATTTTTTTTGCTGTTTTTAAAGAATTTTATATTGCTGGCTCTTTTGTAAATAATAATAAGAATAATAATTAATAATTGGGAATTTTTTATACTTGAGTGCCTGTTCTTTTCACAAGCATTCACACACCAAGCAATAAATGCTGTGAGAGGGAAGTTAGAGGTGATTTACATGACTTATCAGAGGTCAGCTTACTGTCCAAATACTGTGAAATAATTAATAATTTTGTTTTACATCAGGTCCAAGATCTTGTACAGCTTCGAAAAAGAGAAGAGAAATTAGAGAAGGCAAAAGTAATGGCAACAAACAGTGGAGGTGGTGGTTTGCCTCGCCAGTCTACAAGTACTTCATTATCCACTTCCTCAGCAGCATCAGCATATGCAACCACTTCTACAGGAGGTGAATAGATTGTATTTGTTATTTTCATAATAATGCAGATACCACATTGTAACCATATAAATCATTAGGTACTGGTAATTTAATTGTCAATTATGGGACTTTTTCTCAACCTCAAAAAGCTGGAGTACATACAATATTTAATTTTATATTTTTAGAAGCCTACTTAATATCTAAAAGTCTTTCGCTTGTAGAACGTTAATTCTGATATGGAAACTTACGTTATTGGGGGTGAAGAAGATCAAAACAACTATCTCATTTTAGTAGTAGTACAGTATAAGTATTTTCAAGATATTAGATAAAACAATAGAAAATTGAAAAGAACACAGAGAACATTAATTGTTTGTGGACTTTTAACTTGTTCCTCCATTTTAGAGGACAGTGATAATAATTTCTATTGCTTTTTGCATAGGCTGTGTTCAAACAGGATGGCTTGTTGAGTGTGCTTACCTGAACCAATATTGGAGTAAGGTGAGGATGTACACTCTTCCAGTGCCACTTATGTTGTTGAGTTCTCATTGGTTCAGATACCATTGAAACATGCTCTTCCCAGAGTAATTCATGACTCATCAGGAAAGTCCTAGATATTCAGTGTCTTCAGAAGAAATTTTTTGATGTATAGAAATCATCACTAGGGGGCTGTTCACACCATTTTACACACAAAATATTAAGAGGGAAATGAAACAAATGACTAAAACCTTATTTGCTTTATTTTTTAACCTAATGTTGGATCATTCTGCCTGTAGTTTTAATTACTTATTTAATTCCTTGAAGGTATATTATCAAGATTCTTGGAATAATCATTGTCTGTGGTGATTGTGTGTTCTTAACAAGCTCAAGGCAGACTCCTTTTTTTCATACTAAGCTTTCAGGGCCCCATTATGATCACTGGTAACCAAAATATAAGCTGTCAAGGGACTCATTACGAAACAGGAAAGTCCACAATCAGGGGTCCAGAGTGCTCGAAAATACAACCTCACTTGCAGCCGTGTGTGAGCTGCCTGACGAGATGATCAGTCTCAGTAACATTGCCCATAGACTGTCTAGTGGAGGAGAAAATGACATAACATTGAAGCTCAATGTCTTTTGCTAATGGTATTTTCAACCATTTGCCAGGCACGGTACTATTGATGAATATCTTTTGGGACATTTTCACAATGATTTATTTTGCTGGTGCTGTACCATTAGTGCATTTCTCATTGGTCTCTGCCAGTTGGGGGTGTACGTAGTGTAATGTTTTCTTGTTAATCAGTGTTTTTATGAAAAGTCCTCCTTTACAAATTAATATACTGTATACTTCAGAAATGTACAGTGCCCAGTCTCATAAGCAAGGTGGTGATACAGCTTCTGAAGCTTCTTCAGCAGCCATGACTGGTCTCTCAACTGATTCTCTCAGCCTGTCAACCTCTTTCAGTGAACTACCTGGTCAAGAACCTCCAAAAAAGTAAGTTTTCATGATATCTGTTTTACACAGTGCAATTACAGCTTAATTGTCAACTGAAAGGAGGTGAGCCTTCAGAAGTGAAAAAGGAAGTAAGAGGGAAAGTCTTATTTTCACTGCATTATTATTATTATTCAGTTATTAATTAAAGATGGTGGTAGCACATACGTAAATAAGACAAGTGCAGCACTAGCATATGTTTTATGGAAATGTTTCACTCGCTAGGAGCTTCGCCAATCCAGTCGTGGGATTGACACCTATCCCATTGGGGAAAACTGTAAGCTAATAATTGTCCTACTGCTGCACCTGACTTATTTTCATATACATAATTATTAGGAGAATTATATAAATTTGTAATCATTATAAAGTACTCATATATAGGGAAGTGTCAGAGGTGAGCATTCTGGGCCTCTAATACACTTTTAAATAGATATCTGAAGTTTACCTGGAGAGGGCTTCGGGGGTCAGTGCCCCTGTGCCTCGGTCTGAGACCAGGCCTCAGATGCACGTTAATATTTAACTTGCAACAAACAGGTGTAAAAATTTATTAGATGCTAAGGGTGCCTTGATGCAGGCATTACTATTGAGGCATTAGTCACCCTAATATATAATGGTATATAATATAAAAAGAATAACATTACAAGAAACAGAATTCACATTTTTCTCAATGAGCCATGCGTGTTGTGAGAGATCACTAAAGGGCCAGGAGCCCCTTAAGGGGGTTAGTATTCCCTTCTGTATAAATTACTAAATTTAAAAAGAGAAGCTTTCGTTTTTCTTTTTAGGTTACCCTGTCTTGGTGGGATACAGCCGGTTCATTGAAAAAAAAAAAGTAATGATAGTTCTTAATGATAATAATACTCTACGATTTTATAATTCTCGAGCACCTGTTCTTTCAAGAAACTCAAATGCTATCACATCAAAGTATAAACACAACAGCCATAAATACATTAAAAGTGATATTCTGATCATCAGGATTGTAAGCTCAAACAAAACAAAGTGCTGTATTAACAAAGACCTTCGTAGGTCATGGACTTATGAAGGTCAAGTGTTCGAGAGAGCAAGGGACTAGGCAGACAGTGCAGAGATGCAATAAGTACATTTATAGAAGATTCTATAAATATAAAGGGTCTGAGATTTCTTAACATACTCCATTCATATGAAAGGACAATTATCATCAGATTTAGTTAGCTTTGATCACCCAGACAATGATGCTTACACTGGATTGTGTGCTGCTAGCACCAACAGCCTGACTTATCATACTTTCAACCAGGAAGCCTGGATCTGGTATCAAGCCAGAGGGGCATGACCCTAGAATCAACAAGAGTGAAACTACAATAATCTGTTGAATACTAGAAATAAAACATAAAAAGTGAAACAGTCATAAATACTGGCTTGCTAATTGGCAAGATAAAATTGTGATAATTTTTTAAAAGAAACCATGTGTGTTGTAAGAGGCGACTAAAATACCGGGAACAAAGGGCTAGTAACCCCTTCTGTATAAATTGCCCCCTTCTGTATACCCTGCCTTGGTGGGAGATGGCTGCTGTGTTGAAAAAAACTTTTAAAAGAAGGCTAAATTTCAATAATTTTTTTTTTTTTTCAACAAGTCGGTCGTCTCCCACCGAGACAGGGTGACCCAAAAAAAGAAAGAAAATCCCCAAAAAGAAAATACTTTCATCATCATTCAACACTTTCACCACACTCACACATTATCACTGCTTTTGCAGAGGTGCTCAGAATACAACAGTTTAGAAGCATATACATATAAAGATACACAACATATCCCTCCAAACTGCCAATATCCCAAACCCCTCCTTTAAAGTGCAGGCATTGTACTTCCCATTTCCAGGACTCAAGTCCGACTATATGAAAATAACCTGTTTCCCTGAATCCCTTCACTAAATATTACACTGCTCACACTCCAACAGATCGTCAGGTCCCAAGTATCATTCGTCTCCATTCACTCCTATCTAACACGCTCATGCACGCTTGCTGGAAGTCCAAGCCCCTCGCCCACAAAACCTCCTTTACCCCCTCTTTCCAACCCTTTCGAGGACGATCCCTACCCCTCTTTCCTTCCCCTCTAGATTTATATGCTTTCCATGTCATTCTACTTTGATCCATTCTCTCTAAATGACCAAAACACCTCAACAACCCCTCTTCTGCCCTCTGACTAATGCTTTTATTAACTCCACACCTTCTCCTAATTTCCACACTCCGAATTTTCTGCATAATATTTACACCACACATTGCCCTTAGACAGGACATCTCCACTGCCTCCAACTGTCTCCTCGCTGCTGCATTTACCACCCAAGCTTCACATCCATATAAGAGTGTTGGTACTACTATACTTTCATACATTCCCTTCTTTGCCTCCATAGATAACGTTTTTTGACTCCACATATACCTCAGTGCACCACTCACCTTTTTTCCCTCCTCAATTCTATGATTAACCTCATCCTTCATAAATCCACCCGCCGACACATCAACTCCCAAGTATCTGAAATCTTTCACTTCTTCCATACTCCTCCTCCCCAATTTGATATCCAATTTTTCTTTATCTAAATCATTTGATACCCTCATCACCTTACTCTTTTCTATGTTCACTTTCAACTTTATACCTTTACACACATTCTCAAACTCATCCACTAACCTTTGCAATTTTTCTTTAGAATCTCCCATAAGCACAGTATCATCAGCAAAAAGTAACTGTGTCAATTCCCATTTTGAATTTGATTCCCCATAATTTAATCCCACCCCTCTCCCGAACACCCTAGCATTTACTTCTTTTACAACCCCATCTATAAATATATTAAACAACCATGGTGACATTACACATCCCTGTCTAAGACCTACTTTTACCGGGAAGTATTCTCCCTCTCTTCTACACACCCTAACCTGAGCCTCACTATCCTCATAAAAGCTCTTTACAGCATTTAGTAACTTACCACCTATTCCATATACAGTGGACCCCCGGTTAACAAACTTTTTTCATTCCAGTAGTATGTTCAGGTGCCAGTACTGACCGAATTTTTTCCCATAAGGAATATTGTGAAGTAGATTAGTCCATTTCAGACCCCCAAACATACACGTACAAACGCACTTACATAAATACACTTACATAATAGGTCGCATTTGGAGGTGATCGTTAAGCGGGGGTCCACTGTACTTGCAACATCTGCCACATTGCTCCTCTATCCACTCTATCATATGCCTTTTCTAAATCCATAAATGCAATAAAAACTTCCCTACCTTTATCTAAATACTGTTCACATATATGCCTCAATGTAAACACTTGATCTACACATCCCCTACCCATTCTGAAGCCTCCTTGCTCATCCACAATTCTACATTCTGTCTTACCTCTAATTCTTTCAATTATAACCCTACCGTATACTTTTCCTGGTATACTCAGTAAACTTATTCCTCTATAATTTTTACAATCTCTTTTGTCCCCTTTCCCTTTATATAAAGGGACTATACATGCTCTCTGCCAATCCCTAGGTACCTTCCCCTCTTTCATACATTTATTAAACAAAAGTACCAACCACTCCAACACTATATTATCCCCTGCTTTTAACATTTCTGTCATGATCCCATCAGTTCCAGCTGCTTTACCCCTTTTCATTCTACGTAATGCCTCACGTACCTCCACCACACTTACATTCTGCTCTTCTTCACTCCTAAAAGATGGTATACCTCCCTGGCCAGTGCATGAAATTACCGCCTCCCTTTCTTCCTCAACATTTAAAAGTTCCTCAAAATATTCTCGCCATCTACCTAATACCTCCCTCTCCCCATCTACTAACTCCCCTACTCTGTTTTTAACTGACAAATCCATACTTTCCCTAGGCTTTCTTAACTTGTTTAACTCACTCCAAAATTTTTTCTTATTTTCATTAAAATTTCTTGACAGTGCCTCTCCCACTCTTTCATCTGCTCTCCTTTTGGACTCTCTCACCACTCTCTTCACCTTTCTTTTACTCTCCATATACTCTGCTCTTCTTGTAACACTTCTGCTTTGTAAAAACCTCTCGTAAGCTACCTTTTTCTCTTTTATCACACCCTTTACTTCATCATTCCACCAATCACTCCTCTTTCCTCCTGCCCCCACCCTCCTATAACCACAAACTTCTGCCCCACATTCTAATACTGCATTTTTAAAACTATTCCAACCCTCTTTGACCCCCCCACTACTCATCTTTGCACTAGCCCAACTTTCTGCCAATAGTCGCTTATGTCTCGCCCGAACTTCCTCCTCCCTTAGTTTATACACTTTCACCTCCCTCTTACTTGTTGTTGCCACCTTCCTCTTTTCTCATCTACCTCTTACTCTAACTGTAGCTGCAACTAAATAATGATCCGACATATCAGTTACCCCTCTATAAACATGTACATCCTGGAGCCTACCCATCAACCTTTTATCCACCAATACATAATCTAACAAACTGCTTTCATTACATTATTATATTTATATTTATATTATATTATATTATATTATATTATATTATTATATTTAATTATTTAGCACCTCCAGTGATGTTGTCGAAGATGGAGTTGAAGATGTAGTTGGTGGTCAGTCATCGCCTGTGCCTCTGCCTCAGTTAAATGGTGAGTGGAATTTTTCTGTTATTAGATTTGAAGTAAGAGCTGGAAAGTGAGGTTCATGTTAATGTATTAGATCAATACTGTGGTGTGCAGAGATAAGTTAATTCTTTTATAGTGTATTATTGCACAAACATTGTAGAAAGAAATACACAATCTCAGTGACTAAAGTATTATGAAAATGTAAATACAGCCATCTCTGTAGATCTATACCAGCAGTAACTTTATTATATGCCATATTTGATTTGTGTATACCAATGATGACTTTACCCATTTCAATCTGTATTAATAACATCGTAGTAAATTTATTTTCCAGGAAGATATATTTGTGTTACTAACATTGGCTTACACTAGTTATGTCTTACAAAGGAAGATTCATAGTTATGCAAACATTTTAGGCTGATTTAATCTGGGTATAATGTTAATAGAACAAATGATACATTGTACATACAAACTACATGGTTAAAAAACTTGTATAGAAATAAAAAGCAATATTGATCTTAATAAAATTTAAGAACTTTCTGAATAAAACTAAAAATTCTTACTATAAATTATTAATTATAAGTACTGGAATAGTACTATTTCATATATTTGATAGGCCATATATTTTAACCAACCTAGTCAAGTCTACAGGTGTATCAGATTTAAAAAAAAAAAGAATGGAAAATGGTATCTAGACAGACAAACCTTCATATAGTAGAGCATTTGTATGATTAGGTAACTTTCAGCTCAGTGTTAGTGTCTTTGGCTCACAACTGAAGGCTCTAAGTTCAGTCTTGGGTGGGTTGAATGATAGGGGCAAGTTTCCTCTTATCCATCTTCACTAGCAGTAAATAGGTACCTGAGTCTTAGTCATATGTTGGTCACATTCTAGCTCGGCTTTGATACAATTATTATTGTAAAATTGGGGAAATGCTGAACCCATAGGGGTCATACAGCACCTGGGGAAATGAGAGGGAATCAGCTTAATCCTTCATCAGCATCAAGGCACCCCACTTGAACAGGGTTTGAAATTGGCTTGTTGTAGGATAACAAGTCTTAGCCTGTAAATTTAGCAATGTAAAAAAAAAAAATATGTAGTGTTGCCATATATCTGCTGGGCTTGGAATTGTCACTAATTAACAGTGACCAAATTACTTGCCTCATAAGGAAGAGAAATTAACTTTATTCTAAATCTGTTTCATTCAAAAGGAAGCAACCTTTTGTAGTCTAACTCATTCTTAGAAAGTAAATGTATATGATATGTGAGGTATTCATTTTATCTCTTGTAGGGGCTAATTTTGATAAACTTAGTTACCTGACTTACATGAAATAAAATTTGCATTATTACAGTGTGTAGTTGGCATTTCTTGTTATATAGCTGTTATGATTATATATTGTTCCTTCCTTAGAAACTCAGGATACAAGAAAACTTCCAGAAGAGACCAAAGAGAGTGAGTATTTTATACTTTGTTTTTGAAAATGGGTCTTATTTTGTATAAGGTGTTTAGAGGATGTTTTCTTCACTTTTTCTACTTAGTAGATTGAATTCATGTAGTAAACAGAACAGAAATATTTTTGCATTTGGGTTTTAATGAATCCCTTTATAGGAATAACAGCATCCTTGAATTTCCTCCTTTTCCAGATATTGCTATACTTGCTCTCATTTATCTGAAGCATCTTGCTCACTGTGGTATGTATATCCAGTCTCACTGTGGAACATACACAGCTTCATTGGTACACATGCAGTCTCACTTTGGAACATACACAGCTTCACTGGTACACACGCAGTCTCAATGTGGTACATACATAGCTTCACTGGTACACACACAATCTCACTGTGATACACACAATCTCACTGTGATACACACAGTCTCGCTGTGATACACACCGTCTCACTGTGATACAGTCTCACTGTGATACACACAGTCTCACTGTGATACAGTGAAACTGGGATACACACAGTTTCACTGTGATTTATATACTCTCACTATCTTATACACCTCAGCATGCATGAGATGGGTGTTATATTCAGGTTAACTACATAGAATTTTTAAGACCATGTGAAATATAAGTTTTGATCAAGACAGAATTATCACCTTATTTAATTTATTATTTTACAGTTTATTTCTTCTTCTTTCAACAAACCGGCCGTATCCCACTGAGGCAGGGTGGTCCCATAAAGAAAAACAAAAGTTTCTCTTTTTAAATTTAGTAATTTATACAGGAGAAGGGGTTTACAGTTTATTTATATCGGTTTATTCATATCACTTTTTACTTTTCCATTATAAGTATGGCAAAATTTTCTTCATTAATTAAAAAGGTACGTATTTGAAATATGACACTCTTATATGGGTGTGAAGCTTGGGTTGTAAATGCAGCAGCGAGGAGGCGGTTGGAGGCAGTGGAGGTGTCCTGTCTAAGGGCAATGTGTGGTGTAAATATTAGCAAGATGGAGGTGGAAATAAGGAGAAGGTTTGCTTTTAAATATAATTTAGTTTGTGGAGGGGGCTTTGGACTTTATCAATGCATGATAATGTTTATAGATTTCATTGAACGATGGTAATTTGCTTCTTGAATTAATCTGTGGATGTGAAATGGAATTTATAAGGGTTAATTGTTCGAATTGAGCAGCGAATGGAGAGATGACTGCTAAAGGAGGGTTTTAGGGCAATTGAGTTTGGGTAAATATTATCGTGTATTTGATGTGTGAATTCAGACTGTGTGGTATTTAATAAAAACTATTAATGGAGTGGGGAAAGGTTGATCAGCAGAGATTTTCTTTTGGTGATGTTCTTGGGTCATGCTTGTGGTGAACGGCTTGTTGTGAAGGAAAAATAAAAAATTCAGGGAAAATCAGATTGGAGGGAGAGAGTATGGAGGAGGTGAATGTATTGGATTTGGAGTGGTGTCGATGGGTTATGAAAGATGAGGTGAATCAAGACTTGATGAGGGGAAAAGGGTGAGTGGTGCACTTAGGAGTCTGTGGAGACAAAGAACTTTGTCCTTGGAGGCAAAGAGGGGAATGTATGAGAGTATAGTTTTACCAACGCTCTTATATGGGTGTGAAGCATGGGTGATGAATGTTGCAGCGAGGAGAAGGCTGGAGGCAGTGGAGATGTCATGTCTGAGAGCAATGTATGGTGTGAATATAATGCAGAGAATTCGTAGTTTGGAAGTTAGGAGGAGGTGCGGGATTACCAAAACTGTTGAGGAAGGGTTGTTGAGGTGGTTCGGACATGTGGAGAAATGGGGCGAAACAGAATAACTTCAAGAGTGTATCAGTCTGTAGTGGAAGGAAGGCGGGGTAGGGGTCGGCCTAGGAAAGGTTGGAGGGAGGGGGTAAAAGAGGTTTTGTGTGCGAGGGGCTTGGACTTCCAGCAGGCATGCGTGAGCGTGTTTGATAGGAGTGAATGGAGACAAATGGTTTTTAATACTTGACGTGCTGTTGGAGTGTGAGCAAAGTAACATTTATGAAGGGGTTCAGGGAAACCGGCAGGCCGGACTTGAGTCCTGGAGATGGGAAGTACAGTGCCTGCACTCTGAAGGAGGGGTGTTAATGTTGCAGTTTAAAAACTGTAGTGTAAAGCACCCTTCTGGCAAGACAGTGATGGAGTGAATGATGGTGAAAGTTTTTCTTTTTCGGGCCACCCTGCCTTGGTGGGAATTGGCCAGTGTGATAATAAAATAAATAAATAATTCAGGGAAACCGGTTATTTTTATATAGCCGGACGTGAGTCCTGGAAATGGGAAGTACAATGCCTGCACTCTCAAGGAGGGGTTTCGGGATATTAGCAGTTTGGAGGGATATGTTGTGTATCTTTATACGTATATGCTTCTAAACTGTTGTGTTCTGAGCACCTCTGCAAAAACAGTGATTATGTGTGAGTGAGGTGAAAGTGTTGAATGATGATGAAAGTATTTTCTTTTTGGGGATTTTCTTTCTTTTTTGGGTCACCCTGCCTCGGTGGGAGACGGCTGACTTGTTGAAAAAAAAAAAATTGAAATATGGCATCATCTTCCTATTTCAACAATGCAGACCACTGTTGCTGCTGATGTAGCCAATGTAAGGTAAAGTGCTTAGTCTGACTTGAGTCCTGGAGATGGGAATGGCAATACCTGCACTCAAAAGGAGTGGGGATATTGCTGTTGGAGGATGATCTAATTGTGATGTCAGGAAACAATTGAGTGAATGTTGGTGAATGTGTTTTCTTCTTTGGGTTACCCTGCCTTGGTGGGAGAGAGCTGTTAAGTTAAAAAAAATTGCAAATACAGCATATCTAAAAATTTGTAAGATGTAAGAGAGGACACTCGAAGCATTTTATTTTACAGTGTGTATGCTGTCAACTTCATGTATTGCAACATTTTCTAAATATTCCTTTTGCATAGATAGTCCATATGAAAAATATTCTTTACTTTGTAAACTATCCTATATGCATTGCTGATGATGAATTGTGACTCGTGAGTTCCTAATGGTAATTATAGATTTAAAGTTATAGCATGCATGCATTTCACAGTTAGTATAGTATTGAAATAGCATGTGGTGTTTACTCTGTTTCTTAAAAGCAAATATTTCTCAAGCACATTATTGTCATGTGAACTCTGATCTCTACACCAACTAGGATTCTAGCACCTATATATTTTTTATTCTTGTGTAATGGCAAAATCCTTTTATAAATATTTTTATTTTATTTTGACTTAATGAGGTAGAGTATATTGAGTACTGTATATGCCTTGATTTGTTTACTGCATGTTGATCATGCCTAATTAATTGGCTAATCCCAGACTTCAGCTTTGTTATGATACAAGTATCATCAAACACTGATCATTGAGCAGGTAAATCTCACAAGGATGGAAAGTCAGACATAGAGAAGAAAGCATCCATATATTTTCATCTCAGAGACCCTCTTCAGCAGATATGATGAAGAAGGTCTCTTATTGAGGCAGAGGTGAATACAAATAAATAACTTGTCTGCATCAGTGATTACCAGGTAAAGGATCAAGTCTGCATCACGCTTGCACTGAATGGCCCACATGGTTTTTACCATAGCCCTTTTCATATTTACATATGTAATAATAATACATTACTGTAAGGGTAAATCTTTGATGTAACAGACAAATGTCAGGGAGGAAGTGGTTGGTAATGGCGGTTGTTGAGGATAGAGATAAAATGTTTTGCCATGATTGTAGCAATGATGGACAGTTTTGTCCCTTATTGTTACATTGTTGCTGAATTAATCGACCAAGTGGATTTTGTTTAGCATTTCCAAAAGCTGTTAAATTGAGGGATTACTTTACTATGAGGATGATATATACAGATCCTGTCTAACTCTGATTTTCTATCCTTGTGTGATTGTGGCCATGACATACTGTCATTTACTGCAAGTTTCAAATAATTCCTCAAATTTAAGCTGCCAGAATAAATCTCATTCACAAAGTATAAATAAATTTTTCTTCAGTAAGATAAATTTTTTAATACATATATTATTAAGCTGAAAGTAAAAAAAAAATAGGAAAGCATATTACAAGCCATTGGATTTTTCCTAGATTTACAAAAGGCAGTAGGAATTGTGTGTGAGACGTCTTCTGCTGTGTACCTAACGGAGGAGAGGGATCGCACCCTTCGGGCCTTGGATGCCCTCACTAGCAACACCAAATCACCACCTGATCCAGGTATCACTGTATTGGCAAGCTGCTACCACTTAAAGTATTGCTACTAACACTTATAAAGCAGCCTGTTAATAACAAATGATAGAAGAACTGTGCTTTCCTTGCATTCTTTTAGTTTCATGTATTTGAGTAAAATCACAAACACACTAAATAGTTGTAAACAAAACACCATGTTGGTTAGAGAATACTGTATAACCTCAACCTGCCCTTATTTTATGCTGTTCTTCATATTGCATTAATTTTTGAACGCGCTCTTGTTATGGAAAATGTAATTCTAGTTAGTTTGGTTAGACTAAATAAACTTATATACATAAGGGTGACCCAGAGAATTTAAAGTTGGTTTCTCTATAAGGCTGTCCATGTTACATGTTGAAATGTAGGTACAGTCTGTACCTGTACATGCAAAATATTAAGACAGATAGAATAGTATTTAGAGGTAGCTACTGTTTGTTTGCACACACATACTAGTATCCAACTGCTGGGTTGGAATCCATGCTTTCTCCCAGATAGCTACATTGCAGCAGTTACAGCCTTGATACTGAAGCTGATTGCAAGTCCCTTCTTCTGGTGGTGAAATATAAAGTGCCTGAGTACAGCCAAATTGTTGGTGGTCCTGAGGTCAGGATGTTCTTTGTCAGGCTTCCCAAGGAACTAAATTGAAAGCACAATGTTGATAAAAAAAAAGACAATTTTATAATACAAAACATTAAAAATACAACTACAGTACAGTTGGCATCATAAATATTCATGTACAGTACATAAATTCTCCTGCAGACTATTTGCAATTTGGTGCCCCTTGCCATAATGAATAATTGCCATTATTCATTAATGGTAACTCAGTAAACTTTAATCTGAGAGAGCATGTGGAACCTTATTAAGTGTGAGCTTCATGGCATGGATGTGTCCACGATCCCCAAACTCTCAAGTACAATTTAGTAGGTATGAGAGGGTGTTGCCTCTTCTATCCTCTGTACTTTAGCCTCATCAGTGCCTAGGGCACATTAGGAGTGCATCAAGAGGAAGGGTAATCTTATAAAATACTTTGTAAGGTGAGTATGCCATGCATATTTCAGTATTATTTTTCAAACAATAATTTGTGGTGAGCATTCTCATTATCTGTATAATGAGTTTATGTGCATGCATATATATGACACCTACTGTGCTTGTATTTATGTTGGACCTTTAAGGGAGTTTTCAAACAGCAGCCACCCTTGTTGTCATGGTCCATAAACCCCCATTGAAATGTAAATCAGTTTTTTTTTTTTTTTTTTTTTTTTTAAATTTCAAAAGCTTATATTTGATTGTACTGAAAACCCCTTTTCCCCAATAATACTGTAACCACCACACTCCCTTTTCAATTTTCCCCTTTTTTTCTTGTTTTAACTTTTCACCAGTTTAAGGCATCAACTTTTTCATTATGCATTTACAGTCTTTCTCCCCCTTGTCATTTTGTTACAAGTTGGGATGTTTTTCCCCACTAAGAGGGGGGCCCTAAGAAGAATATTTTTACCATCACTCATTTCCCAGCTTTTTCAAAAAGAGCACAGACATAACAATTTCAGTGATCCACTAAAATTAATATCCTTAACATCCCTTTGTTGTCATAATTTATGGTGGTGCAATGTTTGGACCCAAAATTTCATTTTCAAAAAAAGGAAAATAAAGGGAAATTAGTCATTTCCCAAAGTAGTTGCTTCATGAGGGAAAAAAGATATTTAAAATTTTAATATTAAACTTATTTTGGTAAAGTTCGTAAAATTTCAGTTTACAACATTTTGTTATTCATATTGTGCTCTGTGGAGCCTCTCATAAGATACATTTTTCAAATGAACATTTTTTTTTACAGGTACAGGTTCTGCATTACTTCCACCAGTGAAGTGTAACATGGGAGAATGAAAGTGATGTGAGTGGAGGCTGCGGTATTCTACCTCATCAGGCTATAGATGCTTCTTCACTGCTTTCCCGCAGGCAAGGCATTAACCACTTTAATGTTTTAGTAACCCGGAAAAGTTCAAAGTATAATTTTTTTTTAGCACTAAAAAAGAAAAATTATTTGGGGTGTTTTTTTTCTGTTAAGGCATAAATAAGAAAAATTGTTGTTTTATTTAAAAATGTAAAATTTTGTTTGCGGAAAAAATAAAAAAAGGTGCAGCAAATAATATGTTTTTTTAAATAAAGTAAATGGGTTTTTTATTTTAAGTTTCAAGTATTGTGTTACAATTTTGGTTCTCTACAGCATCGATCTTTTGAAGGGCTGTTGGTGGTCTCCTCTATGTCGGCTCACCTGGCCGAGGAAAGAAAGATTTGTTGATGGAGGTCAGACGGCTTACCCGGGATACAGTAGATCGTGGTGGAGAAGAAACTTTCTGCCCCAGAGTCGAATTTAATTAACATTTTGGAATCTTTTGCCAATTTGAGGTTGAAAGGTATATGGTATTGTCATCAATAAAATTTTTCGATTTTCCC